CTGGTTTACTCTTGTGATCAAGCCCAAGTAGGACTTCCTCTCTGGTGGCCTCTAGGCTTCCATAAGCAGGAATCAAAAGGAAATACTGTGTGGATAATATCACCTCTCTCCAGGCCTGCAATTGAGTGAAGAAGAACTATGCTTGTTCCTGGAAAGATTCTGCATCTCTTACTTCCCCTCAATGCTTACAATTTCAACACAAACCAGTATCTGCCTTGAGACTTTGAGCACCAATCTCACTGTCTTTTAGTCTGCATCAGTCTCAAGAAGCCCAGGACTTTCAGGTTATCTCTCTTCTAGAAGCATCCCTGATGCCCTGCTTGGCTTTCTTTTTGTCTTTAGCAGGTATCATCATCTGACATGCTACATATTTTGTCTTCCTTTCAGTAGAATGTAAACCTCATGAGGGCAAGGTTTTATTTTATTATTTTTTTTGAGACGGAGTTTCGCTGTTGTTACCCAGACTGGAGTGCAATGGCACGATGTCGGCTCACCACAACCTCCACCTTCTGGGTTCAAGCAATTCTCCTGCCTCAGCCTCCCGAGTAGCTGGGACTATAGGCGCGCACCACCATGCCCAGCTAATTTTTGTATTTTTAGTAGAGACGGGGTTTCACCTTGTTGGCCAGGATGGTCTCAATCTCTTGACTTCGTGATCCACCCTCCTCGGCCTCCCAAAGTGCTGGGATTATAGGCGTGAGCCACCGTGCCCGGCCTGGTTTTATTTTATTATTATTATTATTTTATTTTTTATTTTCTTGAGACGGAGTTTCGCTGTTGTTACCCAGACTGGAGTGCAATGGCATGATCTCGGCTCACCGCAACCTCTGCCTTCTGGGTTCAAGCAATTCTCCCTCCTTAGCCTCCCGAGTAGCTGGGACTACAGGCGGGCACCACCATGCCCAGCTAATTTTTGTATTTTTAGTAGAGAAGGGGTTTCACCTTGTTGACCAGGATGGTCTCGATCTCTTGACCTTGTGATCCACCTGCCTCAGCCTTCCAAAGTGCTGGGATTATAGGCGGGAGCCACCGCGCCTGGCCTATTATTATTATTTTTTTGAGACAGAGTCTCACTTTGTCGCCAGGTGCCAGGCTGGAGTGCAGTGGCACAATCTCGGCTCACTGCAACCTCCGCCTCCCGGGTTCAAGCAATTCTCCTGCCTCAGCCTCCCGAGTAGCTGGGACTACAGGCGCACGCCACCACACCCAGCTAATTTTTGTATTTTTAGTAGAGACAGGGTTTCACCATGTTGGCCAGGATGGTCTCGATCTCTTGACCTCGTGATCTTCCCGCCTCGGCCTCCCAAAGTGCTGGAATTACAGGCTTGAGCCACCGTGCCCATCCTATTTTATTTTATTTTTTTAAGACCAAGTCTTGGTTCATCGCCCAGGCGAGAGTGCAGTGGCATGATTCTCCTGGCTAATTTTTGTATTTTTAGTAGAGATGGGGTTTCACCATATTGGCCAGGCTGGTCACGAACGCATGACCTCAGGTGCTCCGGCCACTGCAGCCTCCCAAAGCTGGGATTGCAGGTGGGAGCCACCTCACCTGGCTTCCAGCCACCCATTTCTAAAGTTGAGATACTCCAGAAGTATTATGGATGTTTCTCACATGATCTCATGTCATAGAAAGATTGTCTATCTTTTTTAGACAATAGCAGAAACATCAGTTTGAGTTTGCAGAAGAAACACTTTAACTGGGAATTAGTGCCAAGTAAAAAAATTAAGTAAATAGAAGACCTTGTAAATTCCTAAAACAGATAGGGGATGAGGTGTGGGAGAAGCTGCTATGTTTCCAGAATCCAAAATACTTTGCCCCTGGCTTGCGTGCTGCTGTTATAATGAACTGTTTCACTTTCAGCAGTCATCTCAGAGCATACATGGTGGTTTCACTGCATTAAGGATTTTAGCATATTTTATTTTCTTTATCCTGGTATATCTGGGAAAGTGGTAAACAGAAGATGTGAGTCCACAAAATCTTGTGCAATCTTCAAAGCATTTTTGTTTGTTTATAAGATACCTGAACAAGAAAACCTGCAATAAGAGAGCCTTAATAAATCTAATACAGATCTAATACAGGTCACTTGGGGTTGGTTGTTACATAGATATACCCTTGCTGTTATTAGTCTCTTGCATTGCTGTATAGAATTAACTGAGACTGGGTAACTTATAAAGGAAAGAAGTTTAATTGGCTTACACTTCTGTAGGCTGTATAGGAAGTGTGGCACTGGCATCAGCTTGGCTTCTGGTGAGGCCTCAGGGAGCTTTTACTCATGGCAAAAGGTGAAGCAGGAGCCGGCACTTTACATGGTGAATGGAGGAGTGAGAGAGATTCATGTAGGGGAGGTGTCACATTATTTATTTATTTATTTAGAGACAATCTCACTCTATTTATTTTTTTGAGACAGAGTCTCCTTCTGTTGCCCAGGCTGGAGTGCAGTGACACGATCTCAGCTCACTGCCACCTCTGCCTCCCAGATTCAAATGATTCTCCTGCTTCAGCCTCCCAAGTAGCTGGGATTACAGGAACGTGCCACCACACCCGGCTAATTTTTGTGTTTTTAGTAGAGATGGGATTTCACCATGTTGGTCAGGCTTGCCTCGAACTCCTGACCTCAGGTGATCCACCTGCCTCAGCCTCCCAAAGCTCTGGGATTATAGGCGTGAGCCATCGTGCCCGGCCCGCTGTGCACTTTTAAGCCACCAGATCTCATGGGAACTCACAACATCCTCTGCCCATCAGACTTTGGTTTATTAGATGGATTTCTGGACTGGTAAGGTCTTCAGCCCCACCTGTATATTAGACTGTTGCTTGGAGAACTTTTACAAAATACCATTGCTTTGGCCTTACCCTGGTGATTCTCTTGTTTGTTTGTTCTGGGGTGGGACTTAAGTATCAATACTTTAAAATCTTCCCTAGCGAGGCTAATGTGTAGCCATGATGGAGAACCACTGAACCATAAGCAATTGTTGCTTATTGAATGTTAGTTGAGGAAATCTGTGCTTTGCTTAATTCTTTAAAATTATTATCTACTTTGGAGGACCTGTTTATTTTTATAGAGATTAATGTCCTAATTATATTTCATTATATTAAAAATGTTTTGCATTTTCTAATGTAAAACATACATAATCAGCACATGAGTGATCAAAGGATTACTTGTATATTAAGATAATCACTTGATTTTCTAATGCTAGAACATACGTTTCCCTTATCTTTAGATCCATGACATTTTATGTGCTGTATTCTTTAAAGGTTTTTCAGTCCTAATGGAAAACTGGCATTTAACCAGTTGAGAAAAGATCACATCATATTAAGTAGAGGCTTATCAAAACGTTTTTTAAAAATACTCTGAAAGCATTCTTATGTCATATTTTCTGTGCCAGAGAAAATGACTCAACATATTTATTCTGTATTATTTCAGTCATGAAAAACGTTACAATATTCAGTTGGTGCAAAGAAGAAATAAAAGCAATTTAAGTAATTATACTCTATCCAAATTATTGATTTCAAGTTTGGGAGTAGAACCTGAAGAACAGGTTAGTTAATTGAGCTTTACTTTTTGTAAACCAGCTTTTTAAGGTATTTGTATTTTTTTTTGAGACCACGTCTTGCTCTGTTGCCCAGGCTGGAGTGCAGTGGCACAATCTTGGCTCACTGCAACCTCCTCATCCTGGGTTCAAGCAATTCTCCTGCCTCAGTCTCCTGAGTAGCTGGGATTACAGGCGCTTGCTACCAGGGCTGGCTAATTTTTGTATTTTTAGTAGAGATGGGGTTTCAACATGTTCGTCAGTCTGGTCTTGAACTCCTGACCTCGTGATCTGCCCACCTCAGCCTCCCAAAGTGCTAGGATTACAGGTGTGAGCCACCCAGCCTGGCCTGGTATTTGTATTTTTCTTTTTAATTATTTTTTTCCTTTTTAAAAAAGTATTTTTTCTTCCCTTAAAGTCCAAAGCAATCTTTTTTCTTTTATTAAAAAAAATTTTTTTTTGTTACAAAATTGAAAAAATAACATTCTCGGAGTATAGGTATTTGTATTCTTTATCTCTTCTCCTTTTGCCCTTCCTCAGCTTTTCCCAAAAAAAGACTGTACTTATGGGCAGGCCTTGGTGGCTCAGGCCTGTAATCCCAGCTCTTAGGGAGGCAGACGCGGGGGGATACCTTGAGCCCAGGAGTTTGAGACCTGCCTGGGCAATATAGTGCGACCCCGTTCTCCACAAAAAGGAAAAAAAAAAGCCTATAATTATGTTATTTGCAACAGATAGCTAGCAGAATAATTGCCAGAATAACTAGCGGTGATTAGCAGTTTTAAAGTTAAACCATTAACAGAGCAATAATAGCACAGTGTTGTATAAATCAACTTGTAACTAAATGCTTCTTTTTGTTTGTTTTGTTTTTTGGTTTTTTTTTTTTTTGAGATGAGTTTCGCTCTTGTTGCCCACGCTGGATTGCAGTGGTGCAGTCTCTGCTCACTGCAACCTCTGCCTCTTAGGTTCAAGCCATTCCCCTGCCTTAGCCTCCTGAGTAGCTGGGATTACAGGCGTATGCCACCACGCCCAGCTAATTTTGTATTTTTGTTGTTTTGAGACAGGGTGTCACTCTGTCACCCAGACTGGAGTGCAGTGGCATGATAGCTCACTGCCATGTCTGTCTACTGGGTTCAAGTTATTCTCCTGCCTCAGCCTCCCAAGTAGCTGGGATTATAGGTGTGTGCACTATGCCAGGCTCGTTTTTGTATTATTTATTTATATTTATTTATTTATTTAATTTAAAAAATTTTGTTTATTGTTTTCATCTCTTTTTTTAGTTTTTGTTTTTTTGAATTTCTTTAGTTTTTGTTTTTTTTAGTAGAGACAAGGTTTTACCATGTTGGCCAGGCTGATCTCAAACTCCTACCTCAATTGATCTGCCCACCTTGGCCTCCCAAACTGCTGGGATTACAGGCATGAGCCACCTCACTTGGCCGATTAAACCTTCTTAACCAATAATATAAATGATAAGTCATTTTATCGCAATTAACTTTTAAAAAAATCTTTAGAATGGGCCAGGCACAGTGGCTCATGCCTGTAGTCCCAGCACTTTGGGAGGCTGAGGCCGGTGGATCACCAGAGTTTGGGAGTTCGAGGCCAGTCTAGCCAACATGACGAAACTCCGTCTCTACTTAAAAAAGAAAAAAATTACCACCACACCACTGGGTGTGGTGGCGGGCGCTTGTAATCCCATATCCTCCAAAGGCTGAGGCAGGAGAATCACTTGAACCCAGGAAGTGGAGGTTTCAGTGAGCCGAGATCTCGCCACTGCACTCTAGTCTGGTGACAGAGCGAGACTTCATCTAAAAAAAAATTCTTTATGGTAGCTTAATAATTATAAGATCTGATACAAAGATATGAACCAGAAAATGCTGGTACCTAAAAAATGCTCACTGATAGTGATGGAAAATGCCATAGCTTTCTGCATATTTTCATATATAAGCAGGAACCTTTGTTCCACTATTACTGAGCTATTATTCTAAATGAGAACAGGGAAGACAGATATTAAAAACATAGATAGGAGTGATATTCCATGATTTTGTACTGCTCACTAAAAAATTCAGCTCTGTTTATTTGAAATTTGAAGGCCAGACACTGGGCTCTAAAGTGGAATTTACTATTTTATACATCAATCCAAAAAAAAAGTCTAGTATATTTGTATTTTTCACTAACTCTCTGAGGTATCTTACTGATTAGGAAGACAAAAGAACATGGAGTTAATAAGTTTTTCTTGTTCCTTTTCAGGTGTCATAATTAACCTGATTTGGTCAATTTATGATATTTTGAAAACATTCTGTAGGGAGAATTCTAATCTCAGAAAAGTAACAAAATTAAAATCTTATTTCTGGCTATGTGTGGTGGTTCATGCCTGTAATCCCAGCACTTTGGGACACTGGATTGGAGGAAGGAGGATTGCTTGAGTCCAGGAGTTTGGAACCAGCCTGGGCAACGTAACGAGACCCTGTCTCTACAAAAAATAAAAATTAGTTGGGTGCAGTGGCAGATGCCTGTAGTCCCAGGTATTTGGGAAGTTGAGGTGGCAGAATTGTTTGAGCCCAGGAGTTGCAGTGAGCCATGATCAAGCCTCTGCACTCAGCCTGGGCAACAGAGTGAGACCCTGTCTCAAAAAGTAGACTCTTATTTCCTAATATATTAGGTTAAAGATGTTTTAAAATAATACCCATGGTAAACTTTTTTTTTTTGTTTTTGAGATGGAGTCTCGCTCTGTCACCCAGGCTGGAGTGCAGTGGCCTGATCTCAGCTCACTGAAACTGCTGCCTCCTGGGTTCAAGCAATTCTCCTGCCGCAGCCTCCCAAGTACCTAGGGTTATAGAAGTGCGCCACCAGGCCAGCTAATTTTTGTATTTTCACTGTGTTGGCCAGGCTGGAGCCCATGGTAAACTATTAAAATGGCACAAAAACATTTAAAGTGGAACAATAACAAGTTCCTTCATCTCACTTAAAGAAAATTAACTGTTGTTTCCTGGGTTGCATCCAAAGTTTTACACACACATCTATCTTTTTTCCTTTTCTTTAAAAATATGTAAAACCATACTATGTGTATAACTCTATATTACCGTTTTTATTGACTGCGGAGAATTCCATTGTATAGGTCTTGCATAAGTGATTTAGCTGGTCTCATCTTGATAAGCATATAGGTTTCTTTTTATGATTTTGTTATAACAGTAACTTCCTGGTAGGTATCTTTTCATAATTATAGGTAGATATGCAGAGTAGATTCTTTGAAATGGTGTCATGAGGTAATTCTAAAACATCAAATTTTGTGATGCATATATATGCATACTCCAGTTATTTGACCAAATCTTTGGTGAGCTGACTTGTTACTGGCATCTCTCATAAAATTGGAATTCAAAAGCAATATTTAGATTACTACTTCAATAAATTATGGGAGTAGTCCCAATTAGTTAAGGTTTTATATATTTTTATATATGTATATGTTCTTTTAATCTAAGCAATCTGATATGGTTGGTACTAATACTCTTATTTTACTGTAGAAGAGACTAAAGTTTAGTTTCAGTGACTTGCTGAATGTTCCCAAACTGGGCATGCTAAGATTGTATTTTTAACTCATCACTATACTAACGAGGAGATTGTATTCTTAAATGTATCTGTAGAATTTATATTTTCTGTTTTTTTTTTGTTGTGGTTACATTCCCTGGTGAATCAATATTTTTAATTATTAATAACTCAAGGAAAGATAATGGAAAAAAATAAAACATGCCCCTTATTCTTGAAATGAATGTTCCTATCTTCATATTACCTCTAACTTTTTTTCTCTTCTTTTTTGTTTTTTTTTGGACACAGGGTCTTGCTCTGTCACCCAGGCTGGTGTGCATAGCTCACTGTAATCTCAAACTCCTGGGCTCAAGTGATTTCCTCTCAACCTCCTGAGTAGCTGGGACTTCAGGTGTATGCCACCATGCCCACCTAAATTTTACTTTTTTTTTTTTTTTTGAGATGGAGTCTTGCTCTGTTGTCAGACTGGAATGCCATGGCTCAATCTCAGCTCACTGCAACCTCCGCCTCCTGGGTTCAAGTGATTCTTCTGCCTCAGCCTCCCAAGTAGCCAGGATGACAGGTGCGTGCCACCATGCCTGGCTAATTTTTGTATTTTTAGTAGAAATGGGGTTTCCTCATGTTGGCCAGGATGGTCTTGATCTCTTGACCTCATGATCCGCCCACCTGAGGCTGCCAAAGTGCTGGGATTACAGGTGTGAGCTGCTGCACCTGGCTAAATTTTACTTTTTATTTTTTTTTCATTTATTTATTTTTTTACTTTTTTTTTTTAATTGAAATGGGATCTTGCTATGTTGCCTAGGCTGGCCTTGAACTGGCCTCAAGTGATCCTCCCACCTTGGTCTCCCAAAGTGCTGGGATTACAGGCATGCGCCACTGTCTCTGACACCTCTGACTTTTAAAATTCACCTAAGAAGTTTTCTATGATGTATTACAGATAAGCAGTGCAAATGAAGGATAGAAAGTTTAATTTGGAACAGCTTTATGCTTCAAGCTATAATAAAATTTTATTTATCCTGAAGACATTTACCCAATGTTTATCCAATATGGCTAGCCATTTCTAGTTCAACCACAAAGCAAAAATGCTTCCAGGAAGCATTTATTCACAGAAGAGACTCTCAGATCTCATTTACTCCTAATTTAGATAGTTCAAACAGGCACTGGGGTCTCCTAGCCTATGACAATTGATTAGAAACAAATTTTGGAAAAAGTTAAGTAGCCTGTTATAGAAAGGAAGGCTGACAGTTCAGGAAGTGAGAGCTTTTAGTGTAAGGCTGTTAGTGGTAGAGGAAAAACCAACTTACAAGAGCAGACAATTTTCAGAGTTGTTTTAGAATGCTTGTGTTTAGTTCAGTTTACTCCAAGAATACTCAAGATCATCAGCATGTTAAATCACAGTATAGTAATTGATTATAATGGTAACCCTGAGTATTTTTATTTATTTATTTATTTTGAGACAGTTTCACCCTTGTTGCCCAGGCTGGAGTGCAGTGGAGCCATCTTGGCTCACTGCATCTCCCCAGGTTCAAGTGATTCTCGTCTCAGCCTCTTGAGTAGCTGAGATACAGGCACATGCCACCATGCCTGGCTAATATTTTGTATTTCTTTCTTTTTTTTTTTTTTTTTGAGATGGAGTTTCTCTCTTGTTGCCCAGGCTGGAGTGCGATGGTACAGTCTCTTCTCACTGCAACCTCTGCCTCTTCGGTTCAAGCTATTCTCCTGCTTCAGCCTCCTGAGTAGCTGGGATTACAGGCATGCACCACCACACCCAGCTAATTTTGTATTTTTAGTAGGGATGGGGTTTCTCATGTTGGTGAGGCTGTTCTCAAACTCCTGACCTCAGGTGATCTGCCCGCCTCAGCCTCCCAAAGTGCTAGGATTACAGGTGTGAGCCACCATGCCAGCCGAGTATTATTTTTAAAACTAAATTATGCTAGGTACACTCTAACAAGACAAGGGTTTCCATTCATAAAAGAAAGGTTGAATTATGCTGGCTAAATGAAGCACTGTCATACCCAAAATATTAGACACAATATTTTCTTATCCTTTAACTTTTACAAAGGGCCTCTTTGTCAGACATTTTGTTGCCAGAGTTGCTGATTCAGCCTGTTATTGCTGCATAGTCTTGAAAACAAAATTGTTGATGATTCAGATGTATAAGTGGCTGTGCAGAAGAAAACCCCTCTGTTTCTGTTGCTCTAGGACTTTCTTGCAATTAGTTTGCTGAACCTGATCTTCTAACTGTTGTGATTGCTTTGTACATCCTATAAATAATTTACTCCTGACGGTACTAAATGACTACATTAATGGCACCTCTGGCTCCACATGATATCAAGGACATTAATAATTCATCATTTATTACAGCTACATCCCTGTAGATTAGCATGAGTGGGAACTGAGTTTACAACATCCTGACCTCAGGTGATCCACCTGCCTTAGCCTCCCAAAGTGCTGGGATTACAAGTGTGAGCCACTGCACCCGGCCCTGAAGTCTACATATTTTAGTCTTCTGTCTTTTGGGGATACTTTTTAAAAAAGAAATAGGAAAGGAGCAAGAGTATGTCTGTGGACTCCTGTGTGCACACGTCATTTGATTAAATTCCAGGGTGAAATTAGGTGTAAAAGCTAATTTAACCATTTGCAGTAAAGGAAAATAGTAGAATTGATGTTGAATTTGTTTACAGTTTGGCATGACTGCACCTCTGACGATTGATTGTTAAGTGTTGCTTTCGGAAAAAGAAAAAGGTTACTAAAGTTGACAGTGCTTATAACCCTGGCACTTAGTCCAGTTCCTGGCACATGGTCCAATAAAGGTTTATTGTATGAATGATCAGATCAATCCATGTAATTCTAGTTAGGTATTTGATAACTTAAAACAGCTGTACTGATCCTGTGTATTAGTTGCTTTCTGTAATAGTACTGCTTTGGGAATATATTTCAATTTACCTTTAGTATTTTTTAATCTTATTAAATATGGGTTTGTTTTAGAAGGGTCTAGAGAGCCTTATTATATAGGGTTCTGACCTATGAGGCTGTTTGAAAGCATATATCCTTTCAACAACATTATCTGGTACAGAGGCTGCAAAGTATTTCAGGTATCCTTTGGGTTGCATTGAAAAACCCATAGGTTTTTCAAAGATAAGAGAAAATTACTTTTTCCCAAAACAGAGACACTGGACAGTTTGCACTAATACTGAATAGTAAGTTTTGTTTTGTGTTTTTTTTTTTTTTTTAAGACAGAGTCTCACTCTGTCACCCAGGCTGGAGTGCAGTGGCGTGATCTTGGCTCACTGCAACCTCCGCCTCCTGGGTTCAAGCGATTCTCCTGCCTCAGCCTCCCAAGTAGCTGGGACTACAGGCACCCGCCACCACGCCTAGATAATTTTTTTTTTTTTGTATTTTTAGTAGAGATGGGGTTTCACTATATTGGGCAGGCTGGTCTCGAACTCCTGACCTTGTGATCCACCTGCCTCGGCCTCCCAAAGTGCTGGGATTATAGGAGTGAGCCACCGCACCCAGTTTACTAAGTTAATTATAACGTCTAAATTGAGTTTAATTTTATTGCTTCAGATTTCTTTTTTTTTTTAATTAATATTTTCTTTAAAAATGATTCTATGGGTCAATGATTATTGATGTTCATAGGAGAACTCTAGGGGATGAATACAGTCAAGAGTTACATTGCCAGGAAGACTGAGGTTTGGGAAAGGCATTATGAACACTGTTATGATTAAAACGAAAGCCCTTAATCTGGAAGGGGAAAGCTGCTAAGTTATAGTAGTCACAAGATACAGAATTAGATCTTACTATGCTGGCTCTTCATTTGCCAGACCAACCAGCTTGGAGTAGAATATAGAATATCTAACTTAAATTAGAACAGTTGAATTTCTCCTTGAGTCAAAACACCAGAAAACAACAACAAAAAACATATTTTCACATATATTTTTATACAAGTGTATATGTTTGTTGTTTAGTAGCAAGTATGAATTGGATGAAGTATCTGAATATGAGATTTTTATGTGTAATGAATTCATATTTTTATCTTATATTTTCTTACACCCTCCTCCATTCATTGAGTGTCCTTGAGCTGATATCTTTTGCCAGACATCTTGGAATAAAGACTTTAGGACTGTTGTGGAAAAGTGATGGTTTAACACACAGCTTTAGTTATGTCATGGTGTAATTTAAGCTCTTAAATGAAAGCGGCTAGCTTTTACAGATGGGCAGGCATGAATCTAGCTGAGAACAAATCGTTCTGCTATTATTGAGACATTATTCAAACCTGCATGCATCTGTCAACTGCCTGTGGTGGCACAGTGAGATAAAGTGATCTGTAATGTTTCTCTAGTATGTCCCTGTTGCTAGCCATATTGAAACATATAGTACATCTTTTAGGCAGACAGCTTGTGTGGGCTGGATTCCACCTCAGCTTTGTAAAGATGCCAGAAGCGTCAAGGTGAAGTTTTAGAGCCTATTAACTATTTAGACTTGACTAATTTAAGTGAAATCTCTACTGTATCTAATAAAGTACTTGCTAGAAGTGAGATGAAATTTCAAATTTATAACTTTTATTAGTTGTATGACCTCAGATTGACCAATTAGTAATCTTTCTGTGCCTGTTTTCATATTAGTAAAGTATTTGCCTCATAAGGGTGCTGTGTGGATTTAGCCAGTTAATATGTGTAAAGTGCATAGAAGAATGCCTGGCACTTAATAAATGCTAGATATCGATGCCATCATTATTAATGTCATTTGGGGCAAGATTAATTGCCTTTTCCTAAAGGTGAATTGCTTTTTTTTTTTTTTTTGAGATACAATCTTGCTTTGTCATCCAGGCTAGAGTGCAGTAGTGCCATCGTGGCTCACTGCAACCTCTGCCTCAAGGGTTCAAGCCATTCTCCTGCCTCAGCCTCCTGAGTAGCTGGGATTGCAGGTGCGTGCCACCACTTTTTTGTATTTTTAATAGAGACGGGTTTCACCATGTTGCCAGGCTGGTCTTGAACTCCTGACCTCAGGTGATCCACCTGCCTTGAACTCTTCTTAAAGTGCTGGGATTACAGGTGTGAGCCACCATGCCTGCCCCCACCTCCTTTTTTTTTTTTTTAAACGAAGACCACATCCCTACCCTATCATGGATGTGGTCAACTTCAGTTTTAATACAGAAGCTTACCATCCTGACTTGTGAAATGTATCTTCAAATATACTTACAGTTAAGATATAATACATAATCACTACAGGGAAGAAAGACACTCTTTAAATACTGCTATGGAATGATCTAAGATGTATTATTGAGTGAAAAAAGCAAGGGGCAAAGTAATGTGTAAATTGTTCTATCATTTTTGTAAAAATTTGCTGTACATGCATATATCCAGAAGTCTGCACAAGAAATGGCGTATTTTCATTTGCTGTTATTGGGAAGGGGAATTGGGTGACCGGAGACAAAAGCAGAAGACTTTTTTCTATATACTCTTACACTTTTTGGTTATTGGACCATGTGAATGTGTTCCCAAACTCAGTTACGCACACACACACACACACACACACACACACACACAAAGTAAAATAGCTATTTTGAAATTTAGATAAATTTTTATTTATCCTTTATGAACATTCTTGTTTGTCTATACTACTCATATTCACATTTAAGAGGGCTTCTTTTTTTTTATTAAAAAAAATATTTTTTTGAGTTGGAGTCTTGCTCTGTCACCCAGGCTGGAGTGCAGTGGCATAGTCTCGGCTCACAGCAACCTCCACCTTCCAGGTAAAAGCAGTTCTCCTGTCTCAACCTCCTGAGTAGCTAGGATTACAGGTGTGTGCCACCACACTTGGCTAATGTTTGTATTTTTAGTAGAGATGGAGTTTCACCATGTTTGCCAGGCGAGTCTTGAACTCCTTACCGCAAGTGACCCATCAGCCTCAGCCTTTCAAAGTGTTGGGATTGCAGGCATGAGCCACCATGCCTGGCCAAGAGGACTTTTAGTATTTCTATTTAGTTTTTTTTTTTTTCTTTAGGTCTACTTTCCAACGCTATACTAAGAATGATACTTTGTCCTCTTTCAGGGATTTGAGTCATAATCGGTTGTCTATCTGGAACATCAGCTTGGAATCACAAACATTACAGGAAGTGTAAGTTATTTTTATTTATTTAAAGCTATGTTAAATTCCTAAGGGAACTTAGTAAATTGTGACTTGGGAATGTTCAATCCAGAGATGCCATAAAAAAAATTGAAGGAAAAAATTAGTTAATTAAAAGAAATTATTTAAAAACCTAAAATGTTGTCTTTGGCTTTGCTATTATCACAGATTCTCTTGGCATTGGTTTGGTGATGTCAAGTTGGATGCTGTGGGGAAATATTTTACTTTCCTGGGGCTAAAGTAAGATTTACCTGTCTTCAGAGTAAATATGTTTTGATTTTGGCCAAGTTTTCCTCCTGTTGTATAACTCCCCCCACTTTTTTTTTTTTTTTGAGATGAAGTTTTGCTCTTGTTGCCCAGGCTGGAGTCCAGTGGCTGGATCTTGGCTCACTGCAACCTCCGCCTCTTGTGTTCAAGCGATTCTGCCTCAGCTTCCATAGTAGCTGGGATTATAGGTGCCTGCCACCACACCCAGCTAATTTTTATGTTTTTGATAGAGACAGGTTTTACCACATTGGCCAGGTTGGTCTCGAACTCCTGACCTCAGGTGATCTGCCCACCTTGGCCTCCCAAAGTGCTGGGATTACAGGCATGAGCCACTGTGCCCGGCCTGCATAACGTTTTAAAATGTCTTGACATGTTATCTAAGATTGGGAGCCTTGTGTCTAAAGTAGATTTATATGACATGGAGTATTCTCGATATCATTTGAAAATGTGATGGTTGATATAATTCAATTTTTCTCTTAACTGAAGTTTTTCCTTTAATACTGAGATGTATTATGTAATTTTGGAGGGAGTTTTCTAAGATATTATTAATATTAGTTTTTGCATTGTTAACATTCCTAGAGGCACAACTGTTAAGGTATATAGGCCTATTTGCCTCTACACTTAACACCCTCGGAACCCTGAGATTTACTTTCACTTTTTTTTTTTTTTTTTTGAGACAGAGTCTCGCTCTTGTTGCCTAGGATAGAGTGCAATGGCGTGATCTTGGCTCACTGCAACCTTGACCTCCCAGTTTCAAGCGATTCTTCTGCCTCAGCCTCCCGAGTAGCTGTGATTATAGGCACAGCTGTGATTATAGGTATTTTATTAGAGATTGGGTTCACTCTGTTGGCCAGGCTGGTCTGGAACTCCTGACCTCAGGTGATCCACCCGCCTCAGCCTCCCAAAATGGTTGTGATTACAGGCGTGAGCCACAGAGCCCAGCTGGGATTTAGTTTTTTTTTTAATTCTTTGCTGACAGGGGTAACTTCTTCATGCTCATTGGTCTCTGCATTATCTCCTCCTGGCCCCAGATTTACTGCTCCTAAAATGTTGTGGGTGAATAAACAGTTGACAAGTTAGTTAGCTGAAAGAGTAGGCACTGAGGAAAGGCCTGAAAATGCTTTAGTGGGAAGTGCATGACCTTTATTGCATGGACTTTGTAACTTTGGTTGGTTTTCACAGGAGGCGGAGGTTGTAGTTTCCAACGAAAGTTCCAAAGTCCATGCAATAAACGTCTTTACTTCTGATTTCTTTTCTATGTTCTAGATTGAGGTTGTTCAGTGACTAAAATCCAGATTAATGAAATGTGATTGTGTAAGATTTGCTACTAAAACCTTTGAGACAACCTGTTTAAAAGGCTGCTAGAATCAGATGCAACATGTTATGTTACCTGTAAAATTAGTCATAGATTCCATCTCTGAGTGGGCTGATAAATTTCATCTGTGGTCTCAAGTAACACTCTCTAACTTTGTATAGCTTTAGAAAAAATATATATCCATTTGTATGCGTATGTTTATGTATATTTAGAGAAAGAGAGATCTGGATGGACTGATTATGCCTTCTTTGTTTAACGACTCAGATCAGCTGTCATAAACCCAACTTATTCAAAGAACTTTGCTTGAGCTAACAATGTTTAATGTGCAAAATACTTCATAACCTTTCTGATATTAATATCAATAGTAGATCAACACTATAAAAACACATTTCTTGGCTTGGCGTGGTGACTCAGGCCTGTAATCCCAGCACTTGGCAGATCACCCGAGGTCACGAGTTTGAAATCAGCTTGGCCGACATGGTGAAACTCTGTCTCTACTGAAAATACAAAATTAGCTGGATGTGGTGGCGCATACCTGTAGTCCCAGATACTCAGGAGGCTGAGGCAGGAGAATCACTTGAACTTGGGAACTTGGGAGGCAGTGGTTGCAGTGAGCCCAGATTGCACCATTGCACTCCAGCCTGGGCCAAAAGAATGAAACTCTGTCTCCAAAAGAAAAAAAGAAAAGAAAATACATTTCTCATTAAAACCTCTAATTTCTCAAAAAATACATTTTTATTTTATTTATTTTTGAGAGGGAGTTTTGCTCTTGTGGCCCAGGCTGGAGTGCAATGGTGTGATCTCAGCTCACTGCAACCTCTGCCTCCTGGGTTCAAGTGCTGCTCCTGCCACAGCCTCCCGAGTAGCTGGGACTACAGGCATTCGCCACCGGGCCCAGCTAATTTTGTAGTTTTAGAGAGATGGGGTTTCTCCATGTTGGTCAGGCTGGTCTCAAACTCCTGACGTCAGGTGATCTGCCCGCTTCGGCCTCCCAAATTGCTGAGATTATAGGCATGAACCAGCCTACCCAGCCATTTTTATTTTAGTCTAACTCATTCTGGATCATAATTCTTTTTCAAATTTGGCACCTATTCTAAAGAGTATGTATTAGCCAGAAGGTAGAAGTCAAGAGGTAGTATTTCCTTCACTAAACATTCAAATCTGTTTTTCCTCTTGCCTAGGAAAATGAATTACAATGAACTAACAGAAATCCCATATTTTGGAGAACCAACATCTAATATTACTCTACTTTCATTGTAAGTTAAGAAGTTTTCAGATCTTTTACTTTAATTATGAATAGTAAACAGTCTTTTTTAAAAGTACATACGTTATTGATTCTAATTATTTAACATTTTTATGGCCTGGGGTGGATTAGTGGCAGCAGCTTCAATATAATCTTTGTTTTATAGAATCCATAATATAATCCCAGAAATAAATGCACAGGCGCTTCAGTTTTACCCTGCTCTGGAGAGTTTAGACCTCAGCTCAAATATAATATCAGAAATCAAGACATCTTCATTTCCTCGCATGCAGCTTAAATACTTGTAAGTAACATAGATTAAATTAGATTCACTTTAAAGCACACGTTTTTTATTCATCAGTACCTATCTTTTCAAAAATATTTGATTAATTATTTTGCTTTTGATGTGCATATGTGAAACAAACCTAGGGTTGGTGTATTGACTTTGCCCACTCATCCCACAAATCCCCAAAAGAAAGAATTGCACTATTGTGAGAAAATATTGGCAGATGTCCAGGTTAATTTTTGAGATTCAGTTTTGTTTTTTTTAAAACCAGGTTTTCTAAAAGGTAAATAGAGATTTGTTAAACAATGGCTTACCATATATAATGATGATAATTAGCATGTATGCCAGTGTTTTCCAGTTTACAAAGCATATTCACACATGCTGTTTTCTAACAACTTAAATGAAGTAGATAGCCTTCTAATTTTGTAGATGAAGAAATAAAGCAGTTAAATGATTTGTAAAGTTGTGGATAGTCATTAAGTGATAAAGATGGGGGCTCAGACAGATTTTTGGCAGCTTTCTGGTGGTAGAATTTTTTATTTTACAAAATTTTTTCTTTTGCTGTTATTTTAGGAATTTAAGTAATAACAGAATAACCACCTTGGAGGCTGGTTGCTTTGATAATTTATCGAGTTCCTTATTAGTGGTAAAGTTAAATCGTAACCGAATTAGCATGATTCCACCGAAGATCTTCAAGCTACCTCACCTCCAATTCTTGTGAGTAATGAAATAGATGGATTATAAGAAGATAGTTTTTTCTTACAGGGTCTTTTTCTTTTTAATTACTGTTAGAGCATTTCAGCAAACCAGTTTCCTGACTATAAAACTGTTTTTGTTAAAGGGAGCTTAAAAGAAACAGAATTAAAATTGTGGAAGGTCTTACATTCCAAGGGCTTGACTCCTTAAGGTCTTTGAAAATGCAGCGGAATGGAATTAGCAAACTTAAGGATGGAGCATTTTTTGGCTTGAATAACATGGAAGAACTGTAAGTACTTGGGACTAGAAGTGATTATTAGGAAAGAAGTCTGTCTGGGTCTTGTCTTCTCTTGCCTGGTCTTGTCTCTTGTCTTGTCGTGTCGTGTCTTGTCGTGTCTTGTCTTGTGTTGTGTCGTGTCCTTGTCATGTGTCTTGTTGTGTCGTGTCATGTCTTGTCGTGTTGTCTTGTCGTGTCGTGTCTTGTGTTTCTTGTCGTGTCGTGTGTCTTGTGTCTTGTGTCCTTGTTTTGTCCTGTGTCTTGTGTCATGTCTTGTGTCCGTGTCATGTCGTGTCCTTGTTTTGTCATGTCTTGTCATGTTGTGTCATGTCATGTCTTGTGTGTTTTGTCGTGTCTTGTGTCGTGTCTTGTGTCGTGTCTTGTGTCTTGTGTTGTGTCACGTGTCTTGTGTCTTGTGTCATGTCGTGTCTTGTCTCTTGTCTTGTGTCTTGTCTTGTCCTTTGTCTTGTGTTATCTTGTCTTGTCCTTTGTCTTGTCTTGTCGTCTTCTTGCGTTTTTTCAGACAGTCTAGCTCCATTGCCCAGGCTAGAGTGCAGTGGTGCAATCTTTGCTCACTGCAACCTCTGCCACCCAGGTTCAAGCGATTCTCCCGCCTCAGCCTCATGAGTATCATGAGTAGCTAGGATTACAGGCATACGCCACTACGACCAGCTAATTTTTGTATTTTTAGTAGAGATGGGATTTCCTCACGTTGGTCAGGCTGGTCTTGAACTCCTGACCTTCCAAAGTGCTGGAATTATAGGCATGACCCACCAAGCTCCTGCCTGTCTGAGCTTTTAAATACCAAATAGCTAGGATAGTTGTTCTTATTATACAGAGATATGTTCATTCTCTTCCTGCTCACTGATGTGAAATAAGTATACACAAAACCTTTAAAGTTTTGTTGGCTAACTGGTAATTCTTGAAATAATTCTTACAGACTTTCATCTAAAAAGTTTATATTCTCTTAATGTTTTGGCTAATGAAAATTACAGAATTTATCCAAACAGGTACACTATAGCACTTGGCCCGCTGGTTTTGTACAACTGATATTTTAGACAGTCTTACTTCCTTTCAGCACTAAGTCTTAATTAAGTTACACATTTTTATGGAATAGAACTGGTCAGCTCAGTTGGGTTAAACAAAGATGTATGCTTCTCTGGGAAAAACTTAAGATTTAAAACTATAATTATTGAACTGCCTTGTTTTGGAATGTATTTTCTTCTCTTCAATTCTGCAGAGAACTGGAACACAATAACCTTACACGAGTGAACAAGGGGTGGTTGTATGGCTTGCGAATGTTACAGCAGCTTTATGTGAGCCAGAATGCTATTGAAAGAATCAGCCCTGATGCATGGGAGTTCTGCCAAAGACTATCTGAACTGTAAGTGTTGGATAGCATTTCAGTCGAGGCTGTGAGACTAGAGCAGATTGGAATAAATCATTCCCATGGCCAGTAATGAGATGTAACATCCCTCTTGACTAGAAATTTGTAGAAAGCTCTAAATTTACCACATAGATATAATAAGAATTTTAAGTTGAACCGAAATACAATGAATTGCTTACTTTCCATATTTCCTGTTTTCAGTGATTTGTCCTATAATCAGCTGACCCACCTGGATGAATCTGCCTTTGTGGGTCTGAGCTTATTGGAGAGATTGAATTTAGGAGACAACAGAGTCACTCATATTGCCGATGGTGTATTTAGGTTTCTTTCCAATCTTCAGACATTGTAAGTATATCCATTCTCTTTTTTGATTGTTGCTACAGATTTTTTTTTAGCACAATAAAGCAAAGTAATTAAAACAACTAATCAGTCTGCAAATTATGTATGCTAATATTTTGTGGTTCTTTTGTCCTATGCCTCGGAGCAAGACAGTCTTACTTGTCTCCATCCTTATAAAAATCTGAAGCCTGTAGTAGGCAATTCAGTTCATAGTTTAATTCTGAGTGAATCCCCTAAACCCCAAAGCATATCTTATTGTGTTAGTTGCTATGGAATAAAACACAGTCGCTAGTGTCAGGAGTGCAGTCATTTTCTTGTTCCTTTGACCTTGACACTTTCAGAAGGATGCAGGATGTGTAGTGGGAACTGCCATGGTAGGAGACCAGTTCACTGTTACTGGTTTGCTACCTGACTTTGGACAAAAGAAACTATTATTTGATATGTGCCAGGTGCTTTCAAATAGTAGGATAATACTGCTTTTTTTCATATTAGGATGCTGAGGTTCAGAGAAATTTAAATTATTTGCTCAAAGTCACATAGCTTATAAATGTTGGGCCTGAATCAGAACCCAGGTCTGTTTGATGCTAAAGCTCATGTCCATTTTATCATACCATCAGAGAAACAAAATCACTTACCTTTTCCTGGGGCATCATTTTTTTTCTCTTTCTTTTCTTTTTTTTTTTTAATACGGGGTTTCACCATGTTGGTCAGGCTGGTTTTGAACTCCCGATCTCAGGTGATCCGTCCGCCTTGGCCTCCAAAGTGCTTGGATTACAGGCATGAGCCACTACGCCCAGCATTTCTTTTCTCTTTCATACAGTGAAGGAAGGATACAGGATTAGATGGTTGCTAAAGGCAGTTTCAACCGTAAATTTCCGTGGTTCGGTAAGTTATTCAATTTACAGAATATAAGGATGTGTTTTTATGAACTTTATAAACATGTATATCTAATTTTGGAATATTTTATTAAGTGAAGAGGTATTTTAATGAACTATAGTAGTCTCAAACACAGAGCAGAATAAAACAAAATTAGTAGAATTTGTAGATTCTTAAGTTTCCTGAATAGGGGACTTGGTGTTCATTAGGTTTCAAGTTGAAATGATTCAGAGGAGAGGCAGGTAGGTTCCCAACTTGGAGACCAACCATCAGTGAGAGGGAAAGCGTGATCATTTTGTGAAGGTTATATACATGCACAGGTGTGTATTTGATTTTTTTTTTTAACTTCCTTTAGATTAAGCAGTTGCGTTTTTTCTTATGTTATCAAAAGTGAAAGTAGATCAATGCAACCGCAGAAACATAGATGCAGCTGCAGCCTTTTGGCAGTTGAAGGGATGGCAAACAGGTTATTTGAGTATACTACTGATTTTTACTTTTAGAATTAAAGTTTAGGGCTTTTTCGCAACGGGTTTGCTGCCGGAACATAGGTGTCGTGAAAACTACCCCTAAAAGCCAAAATGGGAAAGGAAAAGACTCATATCAACATTGTCGTCATTGGACACGTAGATTCGGGCAAGTCCACCACTACTGGCCATCTAATCTACAAATGCGGTGGCATTGACAAAAGAACCATTGAAAAATTTGAAAAGGAGGCTGCTGAGATGGGAAAGGGCTCCTTCAAGTATGCCTGGGTCTTGGATAAACTGAAAGCCGAGCGTGAACGAGGTATCACCATTGATATCTCCTTGTGGAAATTCGAGACCAGTAAGTACTACGTGACTATCATTGATGCCCCAGGACATAGAGACTTCATCAAAAACATGATTACAGGGACATCTCAGGCTGACTGTGCTGTCCTGATTGTCGCTGCTGGTGTTGGTGAATTCGAAGCTGGTATCTCCAAGAACGGGCAAACCCGAGAGCATGCCCTCCTGGCTTACACACTAGGTGTGAAACAACTAATTGTTGGTGTTAACAAAATGGATTCCACTGAGCCACCCTACAGCCAGAAGAGATATGAGGAAATCGTTAAGGAAGTCAGCACTTACATTAAGAAAATTGGCTACAACCCTGACACAGTAGCATTTGTGCCAATTTCTGGCTGGAATGGTGACAACATGCTGGAGCCAAGTGCTAACATGCCTTGGTTCAAGGGTTGGAAAGTGACCCGTAAGGATGGCAATGCCAGCGGGACTACACTGCTTGAGGCTCTGGACTGCATCCTACCACCAACGCGTCCAACTGACAAGCCCTTGCGTCTGCCTCTCCAGGATGTCTATAAAATTGGTGGTATTGGTACTGTTCCTGTTGGTCGAGTGGAGACTGGTGTTCTCAAACCTGGTATGGTGGTCACCTTTGCTCCAGTCAACGTTACAACTGAAGTGAAATCTGTTGAAATGCACCATGAAGCTTTGAGTGAAGCTCTTCCTGGGGACAATGTGGGCTTCAATGTCAAGAATGTGTCTGTCAAGGATGTTCGTCGTGGCAGCGTTGCTGGTGACAGCAAGAACGACCCACCAATGGAAGCAGCTGGCTTCACTGCTCAGGTGATTATCCTGAACCATCCAGGCCAAATCAGTGCTGGCTATGCCCCTGTACTGGATTGCCACACGGCTCATATTGCATGCAAGTTTGCTGAGCTGAAGGAAAAGATTGATCGCCGTTCTGGCAAAAAGCTGGAAGATGGCCCTAAGTTCTTGAAGTCTGGTGATGCTGCCATCGTTGATATGGTTCCTGGCAAGCCCATGTGTGTTGAGAGCTTTTCAGACTACCCACCTCTCGGTCGCTTTGCTGTTCGTGATATGAGACAGACAGTTGCCGTGGGTGTCATCAAAGCAGTGGACAAGAAGGCTGCTGGAGCTGGCAAGGTCACCAAGTCTGCCCAGAAAGCTCAGAAGGCTAAATGAATATTACCCCTAATACCTGCCACCTCAGTCTTAATCAGTGGTGGAGGAAGAACGGTCTCAGAACTGTTTGTTTCAATTGGCCATTTAAGTTTAGTAGTAAAAGACTGGTTAATGATAACAATGCATCGTAAAACCTTCAGGAGGAAAGGAGAATGTTTTGTGGACCACTTTGGTTTTTTTTTTTGCGTGTGACAGTTTTAAGTTATTAGTTTTTAAAATCAGTACTTTTTAATGGAAACAACTTGACCAAAAATTTGTCACAGAATTTTGAGACCCATTAAAAAAGTTTAATGAGAAAAAAAAAAAAAAAAAAAAAAAAAAAAAAAAAGTTTAGGAAAGTAATAACAGAAGTAAATGGTTGTGTAATGCCACAGAGATTATTAAGACAGAGTTAGCGTCAAATCTGGGAAATTCTGGCTTTAGCCTCTTGCCAGGGTAGATATAGTTCTTAATTTGTTGAATGTTTTCTATTTATGCTGTGCTGTGGAGGAGGGGGAAAGTCATGAAGAGTTGAGCCATTGGTTCTTTCATTATTTATTCCTTAATAGAATAAAATGAGCTTTATTCGTTTTTTGCTTAAAGATAGCTAATGAAAAGAGGGATCTCCTCTTTACTGCTGATCACACAACTCTACATGTGCCTTATAAAGTAGAAAGCTTTGTGCTTTATTTTATTATGAGATGACTTAAGGAAGCAAAAGTGATTAAATATTTTTAATTCTATGGAAATAATTCTTCTATCGGAACATGATGTGGACAATTACACTTCCTCTGAGAATGGAACAGTGAATTTTAGAAGATCCATACTTTTCCTTTTAGAGAAAATCTGATGACACACTAACACATGAGTATATCATTTTTGCTTCCCATGGGGCATCTTTAATTGCTCTTGAGAGTGAAGCTCTGTATTGATACTACTCTTTGTCAGCCACTGTAAGTTTAAGGTCCCAGGGGAAGGTTTGGGTCACCCAGAAATCCCATTAGTCTGAAATCAGATTTATGAGCCATATACCCTGCATCTTGAAAGCCTCCTGCTCTTTTCAGGACCCTGTCTATAAATTTTTTTTTTTTTTTTTAGATGGAGTCTTGCTCTGTCACCCAGGCAGGAGTGCAATGGTGTGATCACTGCTCACTGCAACCTCCGCCTCCTGGGTGTGAGCAATTCTCCTGCCTCAGCCTCCAGAGCAGCTGGGATCACAGGTGCGCGCCACCATGCCTGGCTATTTTTTTGTATTTTTAGTAGAGAAGGGCTTTCACCATATTGGCCAGGCTGCTCTTGAACTCCCAACCTTGTGATCCACCTGCCTTGGCCTTCCAAAGTGCCAGGACCACAGGCATGAGCCACTGCATCCTATAATTTTTAATATGCTAACATAATGAGGGGCTGTTAGCTTGGAAGAGTAATACTTTTAGCAGTTTGCTTTATCAAGGTCAGCTTAATTCTTAGTTTAGAAGAATCAGTTCTTGGCCAAGTGTGGTGGCTCATGCCTGTAATCCCAGCACTTTAGGAGGCCGAGGCAGGCGGATCATCTGAGGTCAGGAGTTCAAAACCAGCCTGACCAACGTGATGAAACCCTGTCTCTGCTAAAAATACAAAAATTAACCAGACATTGTGGCATCTGCCTGTAATCCCAGGAGATTGAGGCAGGAGAATTGCTTGAACCCTCGAGGCAGAGATTGCAGTGAGCCAAGATTGCGCCATTGTACTCTAGCCTGGGTAACAATAGTGAAACTCTGTCTCAAAAAAAAAAAAAAAAGAATCAGTTCTTAGATATTTATTACAGATACTCCTTAAGAAGCAGAGTTGAGCCTTCATCATAAATAACTGTTAAAGTAAGGATCAGAATTAGCATGTGCATGTTGACGTCACTATGCCAGGATGCTACTCAGTGTTGTGATGGTTATGTTGACTAACATAATCTGTCTTTCTCTGACATTTCTATAGAGACTTAAGAAACAATGAAATTTCGTGGGCCATAGAAGATGCTAGTGAAGCTTTTGCTGGACTCACAAGTCTCACTAAATTGTATGTATTTATAATATTTATGTGTGTCTACAAAGGTACAGTTTTAAGAACCAGCTGTAAACATGATTGAATTATGTTTATTTGATATGGCTAGAAAGTTTGAGCTTTCTGATACTCTGGGAGCTTTGTGGGGTTTTTTTGTTTGTTTTTTTGAGACGGAGTCTCACTCTGCATCCCCTGGAGGAGTGTATTGGCAAGATCTCGGCTTACTGCAACCTCCACCTCCCAGGTCCCGGTTCAAGCAATTCTCCTGCCTCAGCCTCCCGAGTAGCTGGGATTACAGGCATGTGCCACTATGCCCAGCTAATTTTTGTTTTTAGTAGAGACCGGATTTCACCATGTTGTACAGGCTGGTCTTGAACTCCTGACCTCGTGATCTGTCTGCCTTGGCCTTGCAAAGTGCTGGGATTACAAGAGAGAGCCACTGCACTCAACTGGGTTTTTTTTTGTTTTTTTTTGAGACAGGGTCTTGCTCTGTCACCCAGGCTGGAGTGCTGTGATCACAGCTCACAACAGTCTCACTCCTGGCTCAAGTGATCTCCTGCCTTGGCCTCCTAAGGAGCTAGGACTAAACGTGTATATCACCATGCCCAGCTAATTAAAAACATTTTTTTTTTGTAGAGACGGAGTCTCACTATATTGCCCAGGCTGGTGTTGCCTGGGCTCAAGCGATCTTCCCACTTTGGCCTCCCAAAGTGCTGGGATTATAGGCATGAGCCACCATGCCCAGCTAGTTTTTTGTTTTTTGTGTTTTTTGTTGTTGTTGGGGAACTTTTTGTTGAAAAAGCGTTCTTATGGACACTTAAAGAGAAATTATTTATGGAAGTACAATTTCTATTCAAGTAATAGGAATGCATTGAGAAAGTAGAATAATCTCTTAGTAGTATATGTTTTTGTTTTTTTTTTTTTTTTTTTTTTGGTTTTTGAGATGGAGTCTTGCTCTGTTGCCCAGGCTGGAGTGCAGTGGTGCACTCTCGGCGGTACCTCTTGAAACTCTGTCTCCTGGTTTCAAGAGATTCTCCTGCCTCAGCTTCCTGAGTAGCTGGGATTACAGGTGCATGGCACCACACCAGGCTGATTTTTGTATTTTTAGTAGAGATGGGGTTTCACCATGTTTGTCAGGCTGGTCTCAAACTCCTGACCTTGTGATCTGCCTGCCTTGGCCTCCCAAAGTGCTGGGATTACAGGCGTGAGTCACTGCACCTGGCCAGTAATCTGTTTAATTTGTAATTTGTTTAATTGTATTAGATTTATGGAGTAATTTATCTAGCAGAAGTAGAGAATTATCTTACATAAGATTTTAGATCTTCTCCCATGAGAAGAATTTCTCCAAAGGTTCACACTTATCTTAATTGCTTTGTTCTGACAATCTTTTGCTAAGAAGGAAGAAATGAGGGATATAATCAAATTTAGCATCTGAAAATTATCAGTTTATTAGTGGTCAGGATGGTTGTTCATAGGTACCTTGTTGAGCTCTAAATCTTGATAGATGACTTTATGCTATGTTTTGCATTGATTAGTAATTAAATTTTATAACTTTCTAAAAAGTGCATGTTCTCATCAAATGGTACACATTAAATATGTGTAATTTTTTATATATCACTTGTACCCCAGTAAAGCTGTTAAGCATACAAAAAAGCACATTAAGCTTATTTTCACTTTTTATAACTAAATGTTTAATGAATTTAATTTTGTTTAGTGGAGAGTTTTCTTAGAAAGATCTGTTTGTATTTCAGAATCTTACAAGGAAACCAGATTAAGTCAATTACAAAGAAAGCATTCATTGGTCTTGAATCCCTGGAGCATCTGTAAGTATTTTGCATATATTTTTCTTACTCTATAAAAATTTTTGCTATTAACAGAGGTTTTCATGATCATGTAAAGTGTTTATGTAACTTGACTGTAGAAATGGTGACTAATAATGTTTCATTTCTCTTTATTTCAGAGATTTGAACAATAATGCTATAATGTCTATCCAAGAAAATGCTTTTTCTCAGACTCATTTGAAAGAACTGTAAGTAACTTGTCTTTTTAAAATCACCAATTGGATCAGTGTTCCTGCTTGTTGTGTTTAAGGTGTGATGGGAGTGACCCAAGTTATTTCTAAAAGCACCACAGTTCAGGCAGGGAAAAAGAAATTATTAATACTCAGTTATTTTAGTGGCTGGAGGTAATTTTAAACTACCCAACATTGAAAAGCTCAGAATGTGTGGCACCAAGACATTGTTTGCCTGTTCTACTAATGCTTATAATTAGGAGACCTGAGCACTCACTGCTCCTTGTGCTTTCTGTATACCCTACTGTTCCTTTTTGGATTATCAGAAACGTGTTACCAGTTCTTAACACCTTGTGTGGGTTACAATAAAGGTAGTAGGTGATTTTGTTCTATAGTTTCTGAGGTGATTTTACAGTATAATTGTCAGAGAAGATGTCTCTAACCTATTCAAAGTACTAAAATGTCAAAATAGACAAATGTGTGTGTATGTATCATTTTATACCCTTTTTCATTCATGAGTTTTAAAAATTGCTATTACAGCCGAACACGGTGGCTCACGCTTGTAATCCCAGCACTTTGGGAGGCTGAGGCGGGTGGATCATGAGGTCAGGGGTTTCAGACCAGCCTGACCAATATGGTGAAGTCTCATCTCTACTTAAAAATACAAAAATAAGCTGGGCATGATGGTGCTTACCTGTAATCCTAGCTACTTGGGAGGCTGAGGCAGGAGAATTGCTTGAACCTGGGAGGCGGAGGTTGCGGTGAGCTGAAAGCGCATCATTGTACTCCAGCTTGGGCAACAGAGCGAGACCCTGTCTCAAAAAAAAAAAAATTGCTATTACTGGTTTAGCAATTGGGGTTAGCTAGCCATTGGTGTGTATTATTTTTAATTTTATTTTTTTGGAGACAGAGTCTTGCTCTATCTCCCAGGCTGGAGTGCGGTAGCGTGATCTCGGCTTATTGCAACCTCTGCCTCCTAGGTTCAAGCGATTCTCCTGCCTCAGCCTCCCCAATAGCTGGGATTACAGGCGCCTGCCACCATGCCCAGTTAATTTTTGTATTTTTTAGTAGAGACAGGATTTTACCTTGTTGGCCAGGCTGGTCTTGAATGTCTGACCTCAGGTGATCTGTCTGTCTCAGCCTCCCAAAGTGCTGGGATTATAGGCATGAGCCACCGCGCCCAACCTGGTATTATTTTTAAACTCTATTGATTCAGATATGCAGTTAGGGTTAAGAACCAGTAGACTATAAAAATTATTTTGCCTTGCCTGGGAAGCTACTTAAAGCTACTCTGTGGAACAGAATTGGTTGATGACAAGATAAGGATAGAAATGCAGAATAAGCATTGAGAAACTTTTAGAACAATTTGACATTACTGTGATACTTTGTTGTAGTTAATAAAAGTATTGGTCTGTAGTGGGTTGGAAATTTAAAAGACTGGTCCTTACCATGGATAATTTGAGATGCACCGGAAATGTGTGAGTTTTCAAACTGCCTAGGGTTCAAATCCTTACTCCATTCCTTGCAGCTGTGTGACAGTGGCAAATTGTTTAGCCTTAGACTTAGTTTCTGTTCCCAGAAAGGGAATAGCACCTCCCTCAGGGTTATGTGAAGATAAAATGAGATAACTTGTTTCCTCAAATATGTATTCATCATCTGCGACATCGGGTACTCTTTTGGATGCTGAAAACAGTAGTGAACAAGAGAGTCTCTGTACTCATAGCATATTACAATACTAGTGAGGAACATAAATAATAGACCAGTAGATACATAATATCTCATCAGGTAATGCGTTCTAAAGAAAAATAAAACTAGGTCAAAGGTATGGAGAGTGATGGGGATTGCTATTTTAGATAAAGCAGTGAGGGGAAAGTCTTCTGAAGATACAGCATTTGAACCAGGACCTTAATGAAATGGCACACCATGTGAACACTGAGTGAATGACTTCCCAGGCGCAAGGAATAGCAAGTAAAATGAGATGAGAGAGTTAAACAGAGTAGAGTAATTAAATAACTACAACTTTTTTGATATTAATCATATTATTTCTCATTAGTTGTTCTCTTTATTTGTTCTAGAGAAATCAATTTATTATCAAGATATTTTTTTTTTAATCTCAAACTGCTTTGTTCTAACTTAACCTTTGTTTATTTTTGAGACTGAGTCTTGCTCTGTCACCCAGGCTGGAGTGCAGTGGTGCCATCTTGGCTCACTGCAACCACTGCCTCCCAGGTTCAAGCGATTCTCTTGTCTCAGCCTCCCCAGTAGCTGGGATTACAGGCACCCAGCTGATTTTTGTATTTTTAGTAGAGATGGGGTTTCACCATGTTGTCCAGGCTGGTCTTGAACTCCTGACCTCAGGTGATCCACCTGCCTTAGCCTCCCAAAGTGCTGGGATTACAGGTGTGAGCCACTGCACCGGGCACCTTTTTTGTTGTTATTGAAAAGCATATGGAATTTACAGTTCTAATAGATCCAACAATAAAATTATATATATATATATATATTTTTTTTTTCAAAGAGAGTTGGGAGGCAGATTATAATAAACCATTAGGAATTAGGATTTTTGCTTTCTTAAATGCACTTGGAAACTGGAAGGTTTTGAGAAAATGCTTAGCACAGATCTTGGCAGAGTAGACGTTGAACAATATTAACAATAAAAATTAAAATGTCATGAAAATCATCATTAGTTATTTTCTGCCAGATTTTTAAAGTGGATTTTTTGATTTGTTGAGATATTTTGAGTTATTTATCCTAGGCTTAGTTTAATTATAAGTTGTAACTTACTATAAATCAGTATACCACCCCCCCTGCTTTTTTTTTTTTTTTGCCAGTGATAACCTGAGGGCCAGCAAGAAAGTTTTAACTGTTGTTATGAGAACTCAGCTTAACATAAAATTTAAGCAGTAGGTAAAAGCAAATATTGTAGTTTCAATCTTCAGAGAGTCATTTAGTAATGTGGGAGTTGTGACAAAGATTCTGTGTGTAACCAAACTTTAGGCAAGCCCTTAAACCTCCTAAGCCTAACTGTGTAAAATCCAATTTTAGCACAAACCCTGTAAAACCACTTTGGCCAGAACCCTTCCTCATTGTAGATCATCCCCGGGTGAGGTCTGATCACCCTGGCCTGTCTTCATCAAGAATCCTGTTAGGGTTTAGCCAGAGCCCCCCTACTCTGGATGTTATTTCTTAATAATTTCACATCCACTGAATGGAATGAAAGCAAACCCACCTTGCTCCTTGCCTATACCTGCCCATGCTGTTTCCCTACTGTCTCTCCCTCACTGAGTTGAGCCCAGTCTCTCTCCCCAGCTGCAATATCACATTGCCATGGTCCCTGTATCTATTGAGATGATCCTGAATAAAGTCTACCTTACCATGCTTTAACAAGAATCACTGAGTAACTTTTTATTTAACAGCTGTGGTGCTGTGACTCCGATAGGATCAGATTCATCATTGGACCCCCGGACCTCTCACCCAGGACTCCAAGTGTGCACCTTTGAAGCCTTTGTCTTCACTCCTGACTGATAGATCGGGGATCCAATGGTGAGTCAGACTAATGAACCATTGCTCCGGACAAACATCCGTTGAAGCTGGTAAGGAAAGCTTTCAAGTCTCAAGATTGTGAATATATTCTCTGAAGTTGGGGTAGAGGCCAGACTTCTTTTGAAAGACCTCCTGGGCTTGAAGGCTTCTTCCTGGCTCTCTTTCCAGAGTGGGGTTTGTTTCCCGATTCCTTGGACTAAAAGTCCTTGGAACTCTGTGAGGCTATTCTGTTCTCTCATGGATGCTTTTTCTCCCATTGCAACTTCTCTGACATCTGAATCCCCTCTTTTTGAACCCCTGCTGACTATATTGCTCCACCACTTGTTCTGTCCATCTCCTCTTCGTTGGACCTTTATTGGCCTCTTTGGGAGACTTAACACCTCCCCAGACTGGATCCTGTAAGCTTTCTTCCCATTGCTACTGCTCCTTTTTCCTCCTCTTACCACCTTTAATGTTCCCTCTGGTTCCCTTGAGCCCTTTGATATGACTCCCTTCAAATCCTTGTATCCTCCATCCATCTGTCCACCCACTGCTAGACTTTTTCCTTCCCACTCTGAACTCTTAGTGACTTGGACTCTAGGCCCCCTACCCTTACTTGGGATCTCTCAGGGGGACTCAGGGAATCCCAAAAGTAATGACTTGAGGTTGAAAAGGAAAAAGAATAATTAGAAATAGACTAAGCATTTTGTCTACACTCAGATGGGCTTTGGAGATATCCAAACAGCCCCTAGCTGTCTCTTCAGCCTCCATAAATTACATATCAGGGCAAAAGAAAAGTCTTTTTTTTTTTTTGAGATAGAGTCTCCCTCTGTCACCCAGGCTGGAGTGCAGTGGTACAATCTTGGCTCACTGCAACCTCAGCCTCCCGAGTTTAAGCAGTTCTCCTGCCTCAGCCTCCTAGAGTAACTGGGATTACTGGCGCTCAGCACCATGCCCAGTTAATTTTTGTATCTTTTGAAAAGAAGAGTGACCTCATCCAATTTATGTTTTCTTAGGTGTAATATAAGCTGGACTCATAAGACTTTGGCTCATATCCTAACTCTACTATTTATTTTATACATGATACTGAATGCCTCTAAAATCTCAGTTTCTTCTTTGGAAAGACAAAAAAAAAAATCTGTTTCCATTTCTGAAAATGGAATTGAAAATTTCTGAAAATGGAATTGAAAATGAATGCCTACCTCATTGGCCGGGCATGGTGGCTCACACCCGAAATCCCAGCACTTCGGGAGGCCGAGGTGGGCAGATCACAAGGTCAGGAGTTGGAGAACAGTTTGGCCAACATGGTGAAACCTCATCTCTACTGAAAATACAAAAATCAGCTGGATGTAGTGGCAGGCGCCTATAGTCCCAGCTACTTGGGAGGCTGAGTCAGGAGAATTGCTTGAACCCAGGAGGTGGAGGTTGCAGTGAGCCAAGATTGCACTGCACTCCAGCCTGGAAAGTGTGAGCCTCTCTCTCAAAAAAGAAAATAACCTAGCTCAACTGGGCGCGGTGGCTCACACCTGTAATCCCAGCACTTTGGGATGCTGGGGCAGGTGGATCACAAAGTCAGAAGTTTGAGACTAGCCTGGCCAATATGGAGAAACCCCATCTCTACTAAAAGTACAAAAATTAGCTGGGCATGTTGGTGTGTGCCTTGTAGTCCCAGCTACTCAGGAGGCTGAGGTAGGAGAATCACTTGAACCCGGGAGGTTGTGGTGAGCCAAGATCGTGCCATTGCACTCCAGCCTGGGTGACAGAGTGAGACTCGGTCTCAAAGGAAAATGCCTACCTTAAAAAATGTTTTTAAATAAAGTATTTAGGCCAGGCGCAGTGGCTTATGCCTATAACCCTAGCACTTTGGGAGGCCGAGGCAGGTGGATTACTTGAGGTCAAGAGTTTGAGACCAGCTTGGCCAACATGGGGAAACCCCATCTCTGTTAAAAATGTAAAAATTAGCTGGGCATGGTGGTACATGCCTGTAATCCCAGCTACTTGGGAGACTGAGGCATGAGAATTGCTTGAACCTGGAGGGCTGAGGCTGCAGTGAGCTGAGATTGTGCTGCCACTATACTCTGGCCTGGGTGACAGAGTGAGACTCCATCTCAAAAAAAAAAGTGTATAACACAATATCTAGCCACAGACAACACTTAATTCACAGTAGCTACCATCACTTCTATTTCTTTTACTTCTTTCCATTCTTCACATACTAACCAACCCTGACCACAAGTACTTAACACGGTATATTGTATTCTCTCAAGAAGTACGTGGATAGATTATACTAAAATATTACTAGTGGTTGTCTTTGAGTAGTGAGGACTTGGAGGGCTTTCTCTCCCTCTTAGTTTAATGGTACTTTCTAATTTTCTACTGTAATTATATAATTTTAATGGAAAATATTTTAAAATTTATATGCAGCTTTTTCATACAGCTCCTATTATTGATGCAAAGCCCTATTGGGAATATCAAAAAGTACAAAGGATATTTTAATAAATGTTGACCCAAAAAGTATTACAAATAGGATTTTTAAAAAATAACCAAAAGTAGCCGGGTATGTTGGCTCACACCTGTTATCCCAGCTCTTTGGGAGGCCGAGGCAGGTGGATCATGAGGTCAGGAGGAGATGACCCTGGCTAACATGGTGAAACCCCATCTCTTCTGAAAATACGAAAGTTTACCCAGACGTGGTGGCACGCACCTGTAGTCTCAGCTACTTGGGAGGCTGAGGCAGGAGAATCACTTGACCCCAAGAGGTGGAGTTGCCATGCCATGAGCAGAGATCAAGCCACTGTACCCTAGCCTGGGAGACAGAGCGAGACTCTGTCTCACTCGCTCTGTCTCAAAAAAAAAAAAAAAAAAGTAATCAGAAGCAACCAACAATTCTCAGTGAAAAAGTTGCATTAGAGCCAGGCATGGTAGCTCATACTTGTAATCTCAGATACTCAGGAGGCTCAGGTGAGAGGATCCTCTGAGTCCAGGGAGACCAGTCTGGGCAACACAGCAAATTCCTGTCTCAAAACACAGTTGCATTATAGTTCCTGCAATAGCAGTTTGTTCAAACCAACCGTTAGGAAAAAATTACTCAATGAAACTTGTTAAAGCATTATAAAAGCATGATAATCTTTGCCAGTGCCTCCTCTTGTTCAGTAACAATGTAAGTCAACTTGGAACAATGTACGTCAATTTTCTGGTTTTTAGAGATTGAAACTTCTGTGGAATCAGATCTTACTTTATGCCAAACATTAAAACTTGATGAGGATTTGATCATGCACATAAAGCAAGTTCTCAAAATCATCTACTTTCCCTCCTAAGTGGATGGGACATTTAAAGGGTCATTGAGAGAAAATACTGATTTTTCAGATACGTTCTTAGGCTTATAAACCACAAGTACTTTTTCAGTGTTCTTACGTTTAGGTTACATTACACATTATCATAGTGCTGAAGTTTTTTTGTTTTTTTGTTTGTTTGTTTTTAGACAGAGTTCTAACTCTGTTGCCCAGGCTGGAGTGCAGTGGTGTGATCTTGGCTCACTGCAGCCTCTGCCTCCTGGGTTCAAGCAATTCTCCCACTTCAGCCTTCCAAGTAGCTGGGATTACAGGGACCTGCCACCACGCCCAGCTAATTTTTCTATTTTTAGTAAAGATGGGATTTTACCATGTTGGCCAGGCTGGTCTCGAACTCCTGACCTCAGGTAATCTGCCCACCTCAGCCTCCCAAAGTGCTGGGATTACAGGTATGAGCCCCCATGCCCAGCCTAGTGCTGAAGTGTTTTTAGTCTCGATGCAATTATTTGAAAATAATTATATGCTGTCTACAACAAAGATCTCTCAATGCTCCAATATGTGTAGTAAGTGTTTCTCCATACTTTTATTCGAAAACATTTAAACCCAAAAAATTTAAAGGAGGGTACAGTTAATACCATATACCCTTTATCTAGATTCACCAATTGTTAACTTGCTAAATTTGTTATCTATTTCCCTTCCTCCTCCTCTCTCATTTAGCTTTTGCTCTCTCTCCGCTTACACACACACACACACACACACACACACACACAATTTTTTTTGGTGACCATTTAAAAGTTGCAGCCATGATGACACTTCATGCCTAAATATCTCAGCATGCATTTTTTTTTTTTCCAGCATGCATTTTTTAAGAACAAACACATTTTCTAATGAAGACATCACCATTATCACACCCAAGGAAATTAACATTGATAAGATAATATTAACTAATACACAGCCCATACTCAGATTTCCCCAATGTTAAAATAAAAGTCCTTCGTAAATGTTTGTTTTTTTTTTTAATCAAGAATCACGTATTTCATTTGATGGTTATGACTCTTTGGTCATCTTCAAAATAGATCCCTGTTCCCCTTGTTCCTGCCTTTTTTAAGTGTCTTTCATGAGATTTGATATATTTAAAGAATTGCAGCTGACAGTCTCTGTTTTCTCATGATGAGACATATGTTAAATGTTTTTGGCAAGAACGATGGATAGGTGTGTGGTAAGGTCTTTTTTTTTTTTGAGACAGAGTTTTGCTCTTGTTGCCCAGGCTGGAATGCAATGGCGCGATCTCAGCTTACTGCAATCTCTGCCTCCTGGCTTCAAGCAATTCTCCTGCCTCAGCCTCCCAAGCAGCTGGGATTTTGGGAATACACCACCAGGCTTGGCTAGTTTTTGTATTTTTAATAGAGACGGTTTCTCCACGTTGGTCAGGCTGTTCTCAAACTCCTGCCCTCAGGTGATCCTCCCGCCTTGGCCTTCCAAAGTGCTGAAATTACAGGGGTGAGCCATTGTGTCTGGCCTGTGATAAGGTTTTAATACTGAAGTCGTTTAGAATGAAAAGTAAAACAAAGGACGTTTTTCCTCTTTTCTTTCCTGCAGGATTCTGAACACGAGCAGTTTGCTCTGTGACTGTCATTTGAAGTGGCTGCTTCAATGGTTGGTTGATAAGAACTTTCAGCATTCTGTGAATGTAAGCTGTGCACACCCTGAATGGCTAGCAGGGCAAAGCATCCTGAATGTGGATCTGAAAGATTTTGTCTGTGGTTTGTATTTTTGTTTTAAAATTTTATTATCTTAACAGAATTAAAAAATGAAACCAAAGTGGTTTTCCACTAGCAGTTTTTGTCATCTTACAGTTTTAATTGTCATTAAAAATGAACACAGGTATTTTAATGAATGAAGGCTTTTCTCTTTTAAGGGGATCATTAACCTTAGGATAAGTATTTGGTAGTCAGATTCCTGAATCAAGCAATATGAGTTTTTTTTAATATGAACATTTTTAGTAGATCTTGAAAAAAGTGGCACCAGGTACTTTCCAAAAAGATAGCACTAGTTTAAAGTTGTCACCATCAACTTATGAATATATTGATTCTGTGTGGTTCATATTTTTTATGCAGTTTTATAACATTAAAGTGGCAGAGTTTTTTTTTTTTTTTTTTCCCTTGAGGAGAGAGATATAGTCATAGGCAAGTTGTCCTGATTCTAGCACTTAAAATTTCAAGTATACTTTTCATTTTATTTTATTTTTTGAGATGAAGTCTTGCTGTGTCACCCAGGCTGGAGCACAGTGGTCTGATCTCAACTCACTGCAATTTCTGCCTCCTGGGTTCAAGGTCTTTTCCTGTCTCAGCCTCCTGAGTAGCTGGGATTACAGGCATGTGCCACCACACCTGGCTAATTTTTTTTTGAGTTGGACTTTTGCTTTTGTTGCCTAGGCTGCAGTGCAATGGCCTTATCTCAGCTCACCACAACCTCTACCTCCTGTGTTCAAGCAATTTTCCTACCTCAGCCTCTTGAATAGCTGGGATTACAGGCATGTGCCACCATGCCTGGCTAATTTTGTATTTTTAGTAGATAGGGGTTTCTCCACATTCGTCAGGCTGGTCTCTAACTCCCAACCTCAGGTGATCCACCCACCTCGGTTTCCCAGAGTGCTGGGATTACAGGTATAAGCCAACGTGCCTGGCCTGTTTTTGTACTTGTAGTAGAGACAGGGTTTTGCTGTATTGGCCAGGCTGGTCTCGAACTCCTGACCTCAGGTGATCTGTCTGCTGTGGCCTCCCACAGTGCTTGGATTATAGGTGTGAGCCACTGTGCCCAGCCAATTTCAAGTATACTTCTGTATTGTTCTTACTTAACTTAGAAAATTTTCCTTTACACTTATATTTCCTTTAGGCCAGGCACGGTGGCTCACACCTGTAATTCCAGCACTTTGGGAGGTTGAGGGGGGCAGGTTACTTGGGATCAGGATTTTGAGACCAGCCTGGCCAACATGGTGAAACCCCAACTCTATTAAAAATATAAAAGTTAGCTGGGCATGGTGGCACATGGCTGTAATCTCACCGTCCTGGGAGGCTGAGGCAGGAGAATTGCTTCAATTGGGAGGCAGAGGTTGCAGTGAGGCAAGATCATGCCACTGCACTCTAGGCTGGGTGACAGTGAGACTCCATCTCAAAAACAACAAAAAAATGTTCTTTAAAGCAGAATGACTGATTTTTAGCTTTACATGGTAGACCTTTTAGATCAGTGTATTTATGTAGCATATCCCTAGTATCTCTGATCGTTTGATGACCTGTATATTGCCAAATCTGTTTTCACAGTGTACTTAAAGATGCTTAAAACACTTGGAAGTTTAGGCTCACAAAATACATCCATTGTTTTTACAAATATTAAAGAAAACAGAATCTAGTAAAGGTTAAATTCTACTGACATTGCCACACACTCCTTTTTTACGTAGTTTTAAATATAGACATACTGTATATTTTTTCCTCCTCTTGCACTTATTGCTTTTATGGCACAATGAAATGTTATCCAGTGGAGATATTTATATACCATATATCCAGTTAATAATTTATATACCAGGCCGGGTGCAGTGGCTCACGCCTGTAATCCCAGCACTTTGGGAGGCCAAGGCGGGCAGATCACCTGAGGTTGGGAATTCGAGACCAGCCTGACCAACATGGAGAAACCCCGTCTTTACTAAAAATACAAATTTTTTTTTTTTTGAGATGGAGTCTCACACTGTTGCCCAGACTGGGAGTGCAGTGGCGTGATCTCAGCTCACTACATCCTCCACCTCCCGGGTTCACGCAATTCTCCTGCCTCAGCCACCCAAGTAGCTGGGATTATAGGTGCACACCACCACACCGGCTAATTTTTTGTATTTTTAGTAGAGATGGGGTTCCGTTATGTTGACCAGACTGGTCCTGAACTCCTGAGCTTGTGATCTGCCCGCCTTGGCCTCCCAAAGTGCTGGGATTACAGGCATGAACCACTGTGCCCAGCCTAAAAATACAAAATTAGTCAGGTGTGGTGGTGCATGCCTGTGATCCCAGCTATTCAGGCGTCTGAGGCAGGAGAATCATTTGAACCCCAGAGGCAGAGGTTGTGGTGAGCAGAGATCGCTCCATCACACTGCAGCCTGGGCAACAAGAGGGAAACTGTGTCTCAACAACAAGAACAAAAAAACAAAAAATAATTTATATACCTGCTTCCCTGAATCAGTCCAGTAACATTATTGAATCTAGGCTGGACATGGTGGCTCACTCCTGTAACATCAGCACTTTGGGAAGCTGAGGTAGGTGGATCATGAGGTCAGGAGTTCAAGACCAGCCTGGCCAAGATGGTGAAACCCTGTTTCTACTAAAAGTGCCAAAAAAAATTAGCTGGGCATGGTGGTGGGCACCTGTAATCTCAGCTACTCGGGAGACTCAGGCAGAGAATTGCTTGAACCCAGGAGGCGAAGGTTGCAGTGAGCCAAGATCGTGACACTGCACTTCAGCCAGGACAACAGAGCCAGACTCTATAACAACAACAACAAAAAAAAATTATGAATCTAAATTTTATTAGCCAGTCCTAAGCCAGTCTTCCATTGGACAATTAACATATTTGGAATTTTTCACTACTTTTAATTGAAACTCATGTACATACAAAATGCTTTCAAATAATCTGTTTTATTACTAGGTATTATCTGTGAAATATAGATCATTCATAATCCCCCCATTGTATATGGGCACAGAAAGAATAATGGTTAGATACATGTTTTATCTATCACATACATATATACAAGGAGTTACAGAAGTAGAACTTGTCTTGAAATCCTAATATAAGGTTTCTGTTTTTCCCCAGTAACTGATAATGCATGAGAAATACATTCTAAGCACACAGGTGACAGTAAGGGGTAGTAGAAAAGTGTTGGATCCTGAAGTCAGGAAACCTGAGTTCCAGTCCAGGCTCTGCCACTGACTGACATGTCTTTGAGCAAGTCATTTTTAATTTTCTGGGCCTCATTTCCCCCATCTTTAAACAAGGGATTGGACTCTAGCTCTGTAGTCTCTTTCAGCCTTAATAAGCCACTTTGTAAACAGATACACAATTTTATAGTATTTGTTTTAAAATTGAATCTAAAGAAGCAAAAATAAATAACTGACGTGGCTACGGATGCATTTTTTTCCCCTTAGATGATTTTCTCAAGCCACAGATAAGGACACATCCTGAAACCATAGATGCTCTGAGAGGCATGAATGTGACTCTGACGTGCACTGCAGTGAGCAGCAGTGATTCACCCATGTCCACCGTGTGGCGCAAAGACAGTGAAATCCTGTATGACGTGGATATTGAGAATTTTGTTCGTTATCGGCAGCAAGCTGGAGAAGCTCTGGAATATACTAGTATCTTACATCTTTTCAATGTGAATTTCACAGATGAAGGAAAATATCAGTGTATTGTTACTAATCACTTTGGTTCTAATTATTCTCAGAAAGCCAAACTGACTGTAAATGGTAAGGAATTATGCTCCTTGTTTTTCTGTTTTAAGTTTAGAAGGATTTTTCATGTTCAGTTTTGAATCATTTGACAGAATTAGGTTAAATGTGACATTTAAGTAGAACTCTTATTGTTGTCTTTTGAGTTGTGATAATGTATGAAACGGATGGGATTTTTGGATTAGTCGGTCTGCACACTTAGGTTCTGTAACTGGTCTTTGATTGAAGCATAAATGCTATGGTCCTAGGAGATGTGCTATTTTTCACTGTTGTTTATGCTTTTGGAGACAGTCTTATGAAATTCTCAGTTTTTATTCCAGAACCATAAATCTCTCTTGAAAACTATGAAATTTATTCCTGATGGGCCTTCTAATAACTGGGAATATTTAGGACATTTTTGGGTCTAATGCTTCATTATTATTATCTGAATGTAGTTACACAGGATCGTGTGTGTGTGTGTGTGTGTGTGTGTGTGTGTGTATTTATTTTTATTTCTGTCTCTTTTTTTTTTTTTTGAGACTGAGTCTTGCTTTGTCACCCAGGATAGAGTGCAGTGGTGTGATTTCGGCTTACTGCAACTTCTGCCTCCCAGGTTCAAGTGATTCTCCTATCTCCTGTAATTCCAAGTAGCTGGAATTACAGATGTGCGCCATCATGCCCACCTAATTTTTGTATTTTTAGTGGAGACAGGGTTTTACCATGTTGGCCAGGCTGGTCTCAAACTCCTGAGCTCAAATGATTTGCTCACCATGGCCTCCCAAAGTGTTGGGATTACAGGTGTGAGCCACTGCACCCGGCCTTATTTCAGTAGCTTTTGGGCTACAAGTGGGTTTGTTTCCCATGGATGAATGATAGTGGTGAATTCTGAGTATTTAGTGCACCCATCACCGAGTAGTGTATGTTGTATCTAAAGTGTAGGTTTTTTATCCCTAGCCTCCTCTCACCCTCCATTTGGAATCTCTGAAGTCCATTATTCTACTCTGTATGCCTTTGTGTACTCATACTTAGCTTTCACTTATAAGTAAGAACATACGGTGTTTGGTTTTCCACTCCACACGGGATCATTTTAAAAATGAACACTCTTCTTTCCTGCAAAAGCTTCTCCAGAGTACATTGATTTATCTATTGCCTATCAAATTGAATAACTACAATATTTTAGGCTTTGTGCAACCAAAAGATGTGCTTATGTTTTGCTTCTATGTTTTTTAATGATACTTTTGAAGCCATAAGTATTTTTTTTAGCATGCAGTTTCCTTGATAGCTTTGTAGATGTTGGTTTGAGAAGCATCATTTTTTTTCTTTTTGAGGCAGCGTCTTGCTCTGTCACCCAGGCTGGAGTGCAGTGGCAAGTGATCACACTGCAACCTCCGCCTCCTGGGTTTAAGCGATTCTCCTGCTTCAGCCTCCCGGGCAAGCATCATTTAACTTCATAAGTGAGGGGGTCATAATAAATATCAGGTTCTGAGATATAAAGTTCAAGAAGATTTGTGGCCTTCTGCTCTCCCTAGTTTCAGCTGATGATTAAATGTATCATGCATCCTAGAAGAGACAGTCATCAGTGTACTCCAAATACTCTGAGGTTCTAGAAGAAAACATGGCCTCAAAACCATATTCACTCTTGGTGAGGTGCTGTGGCTCAGGCTTGTAGTCCCAGCACTTTGGGAACCCAAGGTGGGAGGATAGCTTGAGGCTAGGAAATTGAAGTTGCAGTGAGCTATGATTGTACCACTGTTCTCCTGCCTGGACAGCAGAGCAAGCCCTTATCTCTAAAGTTTTGTTTTGTTTTTTATAAAACTATATTCACTGTCAATCTAGAGAAATGGAACATTAGGGGGTGATCTGTCTACTAGACTCTTTGATGCCTATTTGTATGCATATATATGTCTTTGTTCCCCTGTCCACTTTTTTTTGGTGATCTTTCTGGAAACAGAGATGCCATCTTTTCTGAAAACGCCAATGGATCTGACTATTCGCACTGGTGCCATGGCCAGATTAGAATGTGCTGCAGAAGGACACCCTGCACCTCAGATTTCCTGGCAGAAAGATGGTGGTACTGACTTTCCTGCAGCTCGAGAAAGGCGCATGCACGTCATGCCAGAGGATGACGTCTTCTTTATTGCCAATGTGAAAATAGAAGACATGGGAATCTATAGCTGCATGGCACGAAATATAGCAGGAGGTCTCTCAGCAAATGCCTCACTAACAGTGTTAGGTACGTTTACTGCTCCATGGGTCCCTGCTTTTGTTGGAGTCTTTGGGAACTACTCTTGGTCTGAATGAGCAAGAAAAATAAGTTTGAGAGTACCTCTGTGATTCTTAAATCTTTATTTTACTTCACAATTTTATGTAGAGTTATGTCAGTCTAGGAATTAGTGGGTCAGATAACTGAAATGTGGGAAAATACACAGGGCAAAATTAGGTAGTCATCTGTATCACATAATTGAAAGTTCAAATTCCATTATCATCTTATCTTTTTAAGTCTCTGTAAGGTTTCTGTTTCATGCCGGTGTTTTTACTATTAAGTGAGTTTGCATTGGGAATTCTACTGTTCTTTTAGGAGTATCCCAGCCATTTGATACTGTTTCACTTATTGCTTGATAGAAACCTAAGACAATTTAACTGTGCTTCTTGTTCATTTTCAAAAAGAAATTTAATACAAAAAAAAAAAAAAAAAAAGGGTCGGCCCGGTGTCTCACGCCTGTAATCCCAGCACTTTGGGAGGCCGAGGTGGGCGGATCATGAGGTCAGGAGATGGAGACCACTCTGGCTAACACGGGGAAACCCCATTTCTACTAAGCTGTAGTCCCCCTACTCAGGAGGCTGAGGCAGGAGAATCGCTTGAACCTGGGAAGCAAAAGTTGCAGTGAGCTGAGATCACGCCACTGCACTCCAGCCTGGCAACAGAGGGAGACTCTGTCTCAAAAAAGACCTGTTTCCTGGTTAGAGTTTCTGCTTTCCTTTTCAGTGTGTTCTTCTTAACCATATTTCTGGTAAAGTGCCTTTTTTCCCCTAAACACTTCCCCTGACTAGCCTGGGTTTTGTTGTTGTTGTTGTTTGTTTTGTTTTTTCTTCCTTATTAGAATACTTTTCTTCATGAAAATCAAATCCAATGCAAATTCTACTTTCTAGTTCTCTATTTTCTAAGACGTCCGTGTTTTTTTTTTTTAAACACTTAAGGATTTTAGCATATTTATTCACTCTTCCCAGAAAGTCTTTTTCTTTCCTGCAAAAGCTTTTCCAAAATAGCTTGATTTATGTAGGTAGCTAAATAGACCTACATTTTTTTCATTTAATATTGTACCACAAGTTACCCTGTCATTAAATGAAGTCTTTGTAAAACATCATGTGACTATACTATAATTTACTTAATCATTTTTTCTGCTAGATTTTTAAAGATTTTTCTTTATTCTTTAAAATTACAACAAATTTTGTAATAAACATCTTTGCATATAAACCTTTTAATTTCTTTTTTTAAAGTTATTATTGTTATTATTTTGATTTGGAGTTTCCCTCTTGTTGCCCAGGATGGAGTGCAATGGTCGTGATCTCGGCTCACTGCAAACTCTGCCTCCCAGGTTCAAGCGATTCTCCTGCCTCAGCCTCCCAAGTAGCTGGGATTATAGGCACTGGCCACCATGCCCAGCTAATTTTTGTATTTTTTTTTAGTAGCAATGGAGTTTCACCACGTTGGCCAGGCTGGTCTTGAACTTCTGACTCATGATCTCCCAAAGTGCTGGGATTATAGGCGTGAACCACCTTGACTGGTCTTTAAGGTTATTTTTTTAAGGTTATACTTTAATTGATATTATTAACCTTTTTTAATGGGCCACCCCTGCTGACCTTCTCTAGCTATTGCAGCTGCCCTGAACTTCTTACTTAGGATAGCTTGCCTAAGCTGGAATTATTGAGAAAAGATTTAGGCTTTTTTTGGGATTTTGTTCTGAAACATTAACCTCTAATCCTCCCATGAATATATAAACTTACTCATTTTATTATGCCCTCCTTGGTCTAATTCAGTAGGAATTAGGGAATAAAATTGCCTTTCTCTTTCCTTTTTTTTTTTTTTTAAACATTTTCCTGTTAGAGACACCCTCATTTATTAGACCCCTGGAGGATAAGACAGTAACCCGAGGTGAAACTGCAGTGTTACAGTGCATAGCTGGAGGGAGTCCTGCCCCTCGCCTCAACTGGACCAAAGATGATGGACCTTTGCTGGTGACAGAACGACACTTCTTTGCTGCAGCCAATCAGCTTCTCATCATTGTAGATGCTGGGCTAGATGATGCTGGGAAATATACCTGCATTATGTCTAACACCCTTGGGACAGAACGTGGCCACATTTACCTAAATGTCATTTCATCCCCCAATTGTGACTCTTCCCAGAGTAGCATTGGGCATGAAGATGATGGCTGGACCACAGTTGGCATTGTCATCATTGTTGTGGTCTGCTGTGTTGTGGGTACCTCTTTGATCTGGGTCATTGTTATTTACCACATGAGAAGGAAAAATGAAGACTATAGTATCACAAACACAGGTGAGTAGTACCCAGATGACACCTACGGCTTGTACTTGAGTCAGTAATGTAGTATAGGATTAATTATACAATATAGAAAACTGAGCTGGTCATAGTAGTACATGCCTGCAGTCCTAGTTACTTAAGGATGAGGTGGGAGGACTGCTTGAGCCCAGGAGTTCAAGGCCAACCAATCAACCTAGCAAGGCCTCATCTTCTCCTCAGAAAACTGAAGAGCTGTGATACATAACCTGATAATGTGATACAAGGGAGTTTTTGTTGTTGTTAAAATGTTCAACTTCTTTGATATAACAGAAACTCTTTGAGGAAAGAATTTTGTTTATTTGAGATAGGTGTTACTCTTTCGTCCAGGTCAGAGTGTATTGGTGCATTCACGGCTCACTACAGCCTTGACTTCCCAGGCTCAGGTGATTCTCCCATCTTGGCCTTCTGAGAAGCAGGGATTGTAGGCATATGCTACTGTGCTTGACTAATTTTTAATATTTTTTGTAGAGTTGGGTTTTACCATGTTGTCCAAGCTGGTCTTAAACTCCTGGGCTCAAGCAATTTGTCTGCCTTGGCCTCCGAAAGTACTGGGATTATAGGCATGAGCCACCGTGTCTTATCAATTTTAAGAATTTATAAATACTACCCTAAAACTTTACTCTTAAAAATGCATTACAGATGCATTCTCTCTAATGTCTGAGGCTCCTTTCATCATAATTTTGCTGTAAGGAAGAGTGGAGCCCTCGTGATTGAGATCAGGCTCTCTTTTCTTTTCCTTGAATATCAAGCTGGATCATTGAGGTCAGTTTTTTATACCTCTTCACCCAGAAATCCTGCAAGAGAAGAAATCTAGTCAGATAGACTGTGAAACTGTGGCTATAGATAAGATTTAAACTTTCAGGTTTTGTTTCTTTCTGTGAAACTTTTAAAGTGAAGCTTTGAGAAGAATTCTAGTGAGAAATAGTTTTAGGGGAAGTACCAAAAGCTGTTGATGTCCTACGTACAAACAGTTTTTCTGGCCAGTGGTATCAAAGTGAACATATTTGCAAAATAGTCTTCTGAGTGTTGACTTCGACTGCCTACCTTTGAGAGTTAAAGATGTCTCTTTTACAGAGGAGCTCAACCTGCCTGCAGACATTCCTAGCTACTTGTCTTCCCAAGGAACACTGTCTGAGCCACAGGAAGGCTATAGCAACTCTGAGGCAGGAAGTCATCAGCAACTTATGCCTCCTACCAATGGATATCTACACAAAGGCAGCGATGGTAATGACTCTTGTTTACTGTTACAATTTCAGCCTGTTCTGTTTATTTTTCAGTGTGTAGTTTCTCCATTAATCTGAAGCAATATTTTAAAGACACCCAATGAAAACATTTAACCACATGCAAAATAGGATGAAAATTGACTACTAAAGTCTTAAGAAAATCACCTTACAGAGTGGAGAAACACATTAAACAAGGGGTCAGAGTACACAGCAGAGGCTCCCAAACTTGTGTAATTATAGGAAAGGGATGTTGCGGAAACCATTTTTATATACCCTTTTCAGGCATGGGCATCCTTCAGACCACATTCAGGGAAGGCTGGATTCTCTTCCTGACAAGTAGACGTTCAGTAAAGTTTAAAGGGTAGCTAGGAGCCAGGTATGGTGGCACATCTGTAGTCCCATCTACTCATGAGGCTGAAGCAGAAGGATCGCTTGAGGCCAGGAGTTCAAAGCTGTATTGTGCTGTGAGCGCACCTATGAACGCACCACTGCGCTCCAGCCTGGACAACATAGTGAGACTCCCCATCTCGAACAAAATCAACAAAGGGTAGCAATGGTTCTCAGCATATACTGGAGAACATCAGAGAGATGTAAAGTGTTCCCTAATTAAATGAACCTGACATCTCAACATGTGAGATGCATACCCATACCCTAGCTCTTCTCCCTCAACCCTTTTCGTGCCCTCGCTCCAATACATACTGACAGAACTGAATGAATTAAAGGACAGAGAATTGGGTTTGATTGATAGTTCTTCCTCTTTCCACCATGAACTAGTTACTTAAGATCTGAGCTTTATTTTTCTAATTTTTTTTTTGAGGCGGAGTTTCACTCTGTCATCAGGCAGAGGTGCGATTTCAGCTCACTGCAACCTCTGCCTCCTGGATTCAAGTGATTCTCCTACCTTGGCCTCCTGCACAGCTGGGACTACAGGCATGTGCCACCATGCCCAGCTAATTTTTATATTTTTAGTAGAGTTGGGATTTCGCCATGTTGCCCAGGATGGTCTCTATCTCCTGACCTTGTGATCTGCTCGCCTTGGCCTCCCAAAGTGCTGGGATTGTAGGTGTGAGCCACCACGCCTGGCTTACTTTTCTAATTTTTAAATTAAAAAAAACAATAATTTGTAAAGCATTTCCTGCAAGATTCTCACAGGTCCTTTCAACAAATCTGTGTGGTACTTAAAATACCATACAAGTAAAAGATTGATTCCATTTCTTCAGAGACTGTTTTAGGCTGGGTGTCAATGGAACTTCTTTATCTAGCTGATAAATTGGATTTTATTTTGGCTTTTCATGGAAAATATGGTATTTCTGACTTTTTTTTTTTTGACACAGTCTCTCTTTCAGTCGTCCAGTCTAGAGTGCAGTGCCATGATCTCGGCTCACTGCAACCTCCACCTCCCAGGTTTAAGTGATCCTCCTGCCTCAGCCTCCTTAGTAGCTGGTATTGTAGGAGTGTGCCACCACACCTGGCTAATTTTTGTATTTTTAGAAGAGATGGGGTTTCACTGTGTTGGTCAGGCTGGTCTCGAACTCCTGACCTTGTGATCTGCTCACCTCAGTCTCCCAAAGTGCTGGGATTACAGGCGTGAGCCACTGCCTGGCCAGTATTTCTGACTTTTGAGAGAATACTTAAAATCTGTTCTTTGAAATAACACTGCTTTCAGGTTTAAACGAAATCACTTCTCACTCTCTTCCAGTCCTTATATTCTGTTGTGTGATTTTTTGTTGTTTTGTTTTTTTGAGACAGAATTTCACTCTTGTTGCCCAGGCTGGAGTGCAGTGGTGCGATCTCAGCTCACTGTAACCTTTGCCTCCTGGGTTTTAGTGACTCGCCTGCCTCAGCCTCCTAAGTAGCTGGGATTACAGGCACCCACCACCATGTCCAGCTAATTTTTGTATTTTTAGTAGAGACAGGGTTTCACCATGTTGGCCAGGCTGGTCTCAAACTCAGGACCTCAGGTGATCCACCTGCCTTGACCTTCCATAGTACTGGGATTACAGGCGTGAGTCACTGCTCTTGGACTTGCATGATTTTGAATAAGTAACTCACTCTTTATTTCTCACTCTTCTCTCCTTCATCATTCAGTTTTCAAAGCACTTAATGATCCAGGGAGCTCATTGTTAAACCTGTACTTCTGTCAATCATGTACTTGTAAGGCAAGACTCTTCGTTGTTAGAAGCTTTTTCTAGGGATACCTGTATCAATTGGTGTTACTTAACCTCTTGACTGATGAAAGTAACATGGGTTTTCATAAAGTGAAGTTATAACTCCTTATTCTCTGATTTTGTTTGCTTAACCCAAGCATGTGTCTTGTAGCACAGTACCAGTCTTTTCTTGCTCCCTTGATTTGGGCATGATCTCTCTATGATAGACAGGGATGGTTCAGTGTAATTTTCAAGAGCATGGGCTCTGGAGCCAGAATACCTGTTTCTGCTCCTCCTCTGGCAGTATGACTTTTGTTAAGTTACTTAACTTCTCTGTGCTGCAGTTTACCCTGTCTGTAAAGTGGGGATAATAATGAACTGATTCACAGAAAGAGCTTGAAACTTCACCTACTTTATAAAGTAAGTGCTCGATACATGCTAGCAGTGATGATGACAACTGTTGAAGAAAACTGATGATTGGCAAAAAATAATTCCTTAACAGAAAGATATTTAGATTATTTTTCTTGTTATTAGGTGGCACTAGTACCCGGGTGATCTGCTCAGATTGTTATGACAATGCCAACATCTACTCCAGGACCCGAGAATACTGTCCATACACATATATTGCTGAGGAGGATATTCTTGATCAGACACTGTCCAGCCTCATGGTCCAGATGCCTAAAGAGACATATTTAGCATATCCTCCCCAGGATACTGCTGCCCTAGAGAGCCTGATATCATCAGTCAACAGAGAGCCATCTGCCTTTCCCACGAACCATGACAGGATAAATGAGAAGAAACTTTCCTCCACACAGCTGAGCAGTGGTAAGGGATGCATTTTTGTTGTTGTTATTTTGTTTTTACTTTCATCTAATTGACTCTTCCTTCTATCATATAGGTAGTGCTCTCATTTGACAGGAAGCAAACAGCTTGGTATATAGGAGTAACTAGCCAATGTTAAATGGTATAAATGATAGCTAGAGATTTCCACATATTAGAGTTACAAAGAAGTCTTCATCTATAGGATGGAAACAACTTTTGTGGGAGGGGTAACAAGATCACACTATTGAAAATTCAGAGGCCATACATAATGAGCTTTTAGGCCTAGTGCAGTGGCTCATGCCGACAGTCCCAGCACTTTGGGAGGTCAACGTGGGTGGATCACGAGGTCAGGAGTTTGAGACCAGCACTTTGGGAGGTCAAGGTGGGTGGATCACGAGGTCAGGAGTTTGAGACTAGCCTGGCCAATATTGTGAAACCCTATCTCTGCTAAAACTACAAAAATTAGCTGGGCATGGTGGGCTGAGGCAGGAGAATCCAGGAGGTGGAGGTTGCAGTGAGCCGAGACCGTGCCATTGCACTCCAGCCTGGGTGACAGAGAGAGACTCCATCTCCAAAAAAAAGGCTCTTAAAAGGTTTCATTTGGGTGTTTTATCCTTTTTTTTTTTTTAAGATAGTCTCACTGTGTTGTCCAGTCTGGAACGCAGTGGCCACAATCTTGGCTTACTGCAACCGCTACCTCCTGAGTTCAAGCGATTCTCGTGCCTCAGCCTCCCAAGAAGCTGGGGCTACAGGCATGTGCCACCACACCTAGCTAATTTTTGTATTTTTAATAGAGACGGGGTTTCACCATGTTGGCCAGGCTCGTGATGAACTCCTGACCTCATGTGATCTGCCTGCTTTGGCCTCCCAAAGTGCTGGGATTACAGGTGTGAGCCACTGCATCTGGTCTCATATAGGGTATTAATAATTTTTCTCCTACCTTTATTTAAGTAAGGAATAAAATTTGGGGAGCCTGGCATGGTGGCTTACACCTGTTATGTCAGCAGTTTGGGAGGCCAAAGCAGGTGGATCATTTGAGGTCAGGAGTTTGAGACCAGCCTGGCCAACATAGTGAAACCCCATCTCTACTAAAAGTATAAACATTAGTGAGAAGTGGTGGTGCATGCCTGTAGTCCCAGCTACTTGGGAAGCTGAGGCACGAGAATCACTTAAGCCCAAGAGATGGCGGTTGCAGTGAGCTGAAATCATGCCACTGTACTCTAGTCTGGGCAACAGAGAAAGACTCTGTCTCAAAATAATACTAATAAAATTTGGGCATAATTTGGTGAAGGTTTTTACTGAAAAGATTTTTTTTGAGACAGAGTTTTGCTCTTGTTGCCCAGGCTGGAGTGCTGTGGTGTGATCTTGGCTCATTGCAATCTCCACCTTCTGGGTACAAGCGATTCTCCTGCCTCAGCCTCCCAAGTAGCTGGGATTATAGGCATGCGCCACTACATCCAGCTAATTTTGTATTTTTAGTAGAGATGGGGTTTCACCATGTTGGTCCAGCTGGTCTCAAACTCCCTACCTCAGGTGATCTGCCCACCTCAGCCTCCTAAGGTGCTGGGATTACAGGCATGAGCCACTGTGCCTGGTGTACTGAGAAGAATTTTTTTTTTTGAGATGGTAACAGTCTTGCCCTGTTACCCAGGCTGGAGTGCAATGGCATGATCTCGGCTCACTGCAACCTCTGCCTCTCGGGTTCAAGTGATTTTCTTGCCTTAGCCTCCAGAGTAGGTGGGATGACAGGCGTGTGCTTCCACACCCAACCAATTTGTTGAATTTTTAAAGTAGGGACAGGGTTTCACTATGTTTGCTAGGCTGGTCTCAAACTCCTGACCTAATGATCCACCTACCTCAGCCTCCCAAAGTGCTGGGATTACAGGCGTGAGCCACCACGCCCAGCTGAGAAGATTTTTAAATGTTTTGTTTGGTTGCTGTTCTAGCAGGTAAACATTTAATCTCAGCTTCACTTGGTGGGTGTTTTCTTCTATGAGGTATGATCAAGGTCACAAGTGAGAATGCAGTTTTGGGCTTGTGTCCTCTGTTCCACATGGCCCAGGAAAAGAAATATACATTATATTGTATAGATTAGGCATTTGATAACCACTTACCATTTGAGACAAAAGTCTTTCTAAACCATGAAGGGTAATGCTAAGCATGTCTTCCTGTCCACCAAGCTTCTCATCAGCTTTCATCTTCCTGTCAGCCTGACATGGAAGAGCACTGGAAATACTGTAGGAGGTGAGAACTCTAGGTTTACAGAGGAAGACACAGTATATAGTTACACTCTCGGGGATGGTTCTGGCAGGAGTAAATGATCTAATGTCCCACAGGTTACAGGATCCTGCTTTTAATTTTAGCAGGATTTGGAACATTCAAGATGGTAGTGAGGACACATGAAACTCACTTCTGGGCAGCAATTTATTAGTTAATTTTGCCCAGAATGAAATCTGGGCAGTGATTTATTAGTTAATTTTGGATTTAGTACTTCATGTCCCACATTAGATCATTTAATACTGCCAGAACCATCCTTGGAAATATCTAAGGTATGCTTTGTTTTTTGTTTGTTTGTTTGTTGAGACAGAGTCTCACTCTGTCACCCAGGCTGGAGTGCAGTGGCATGATCTTGGCTCACTACAACCTCCACCTCCCAGGTTCAAGCGATTCTTCTGTCTCAGCCTCCCAAGTAGCTGGGATTACTGGTGTCCACCACCATGCCTGGCTAATTTTTTGTATTTTTTTTTTTTTTTTTTTTTTAAAGCAGAGAGGGGGTTTCACCATGTTGGCCAGGCTGGTCTTGAACTCCTGACTGACCTCAGGTGATCCACCCACCTTGGCCTCCAAGTGTTGAGATACAGGCGTGAGCCACTGCACCCAGCCTCTGTTGTTTTTAAGAGATTAAAGACTTCTAAAGAAGTTAGAGGTCAGAGGAAAGCACTATTATTAAAGTTAGTCTCTCTCTCTCTCTTTTTTTTTTTTTTTTTTGAGATAGAGTTCCGCTCTTGTTACCCAGGCTGGAGTGCAGTGGCATGATCTTGGCTCACTGGAACCTCCGCCTCCTGGGTTCAAGTGATTCTTCTGCGTCAGCCTCCTGAGTAGCTGGGATTACAGGCATGTGCCACCACGCAAAACTAATTTTGTTATTTTTAGTAGAGTCAGGGTTTGTCCATATTGGTCAGGCTGGTCTAGAACTCCTGACCTCAGGTGATCCACCCACCTCGGCCTCCCAAAGTGTTGGGATTACAGACATCAGCCACTGCACCCGGCCTGAAGTTAGTCTCTTATCTTTACATTAAGTGTTCATAAAACAAATGCACCAAGAGTAGATCCACTTTTACTGTTCAATGTCTTAGCAGAGTTAAAACAAAAAGGGTTTAAGAAGGACCAGAAATGTAGTTCATCTTTTTTCTAAGTTTGGGGATTTATTTTTAATCTGGTTCATAAGTAAGGAAATCAACAAATGAGAATACTTTGGTGCATTGGTCATTCTTTACATAGGGTATTCTAGCTTCTTCTTACTCAAAAGTCTGGTCTGTAGACTATTAGCACCACCATTACTTAAGAGCTTGTTAGAAATGCAGTCATGATTCCACCGCAGATGTAGCAAATCAGAGTCTACATTTTAACAAGATCCTCAAGTTATTTGTGTGCATATTAAAACTTGAGAAACTCTGCTCTAGCTTACTTTTCACATGGATTTTATTTTTATTTCTGGGTATTTGTTTTTATAATGTTTGGCTAGCTTTTTCCAAAATACACCCTATGAAGTTAATATAACTTTCAGTAAACAGTCTTTGGGAAAATAGCTCACCATTGTGGTAAAGAATGAGAAATGCATGTTTGAAACCAATGTGCCGATAATCTGATTTAATATAGCTTCTTTTGGCTATCATTTGTTGTTTGGAAGGGAATGGCTGTTTATTTTTATTTTATTTTTTTGAGACGGAGTTTCACTCTTGTTACCCAGGCTGGAGTGCAATGGCGCGATCTCGGCTCACCGCAACCTCCGCTTCCTGGGTTCAGGCAATTCTCCTGCCTCAGCCTCCTGAGTAGCTGGGATTACAGGCACACGCCACCGTGCCCAGCTAATTTTTTGTATTTTTAGTAGAGACGGGGTTCCACCATGTTGACCAGGATGGTCTCAATCTCTTGACCTCGTGATTCACCCGCCTCAGCCTCCCAAAGTGCTGGGATTACAGGTGTGAGCCACCGCGCCTGGCCTGTTTATTTTTAAAACAGTTTTATGAGATATTTAAAGATGTAATGGCTGCACTGAATCAATGACTATTATCTATCGTGAAACTTTAATTACAATATGGATACCATTTGTCTTTTAGTTCTTATCCATGTGTCTAAAGAATTTTATTTAAAAATTTTGTAGCGACAGAATCACTAAAATAACAGGTGAAAGTAATGATACTTAGTGTGATCTCAGTAAATATTTGGTCAGGTTTGTGAAGTAGAGGGAATTGAAAGACCATGTTCTGGTGTTTTTTGTTTTGTTTGTTCTTTTCTGGCTAAGAAGATGGCAAGTATGTGTTTGACATTAGTGCCGTTGTTCAGGAATGTTGAACATCTTTATTTCTTTTAGGATTTGGTAAAAAGGATATTAAGTTTTACCAGTCCCTACTGATAATTCTTGTCTTTCATTCTCAGAAACACTGGAGCGGCCTCTGTGGACCATAAACAGAGAACTAGGCCTGCCTCATCCTCCCTTTTCCCAGCAGCCGGCTCATGAGTCACCACAGCTTCATCAGAATGAGGGCCAGGCAGGGCGGGATCCAGATTGTTCCGCATCTCCCATGTCCTGCCACAGGTTACAAGATCATGCTTTTGATTTTAGTAGGACTCAGAACATTCAAGATGGTAGTGAGGGCACATGAAACTCACTGCACGATGAAATCTGGGCAGAGACTCATTAATTAATTTTGCATTTACTACCTCAGAGTTCAGAAGAAACTCCGAAGTCAGCGTTTGCTTTACTCTTTCTTTATGATTGCATCTGACTGCACCAAGGTGGGCCATGCATTGTTTGATCTTATACCTGATGAAGAAATGGTAACAGCTGACAGAAATGGGTACATCTCATCAAAATGTGCAGCACTGGCAGAGGGAAGATTCAGGACAAATGTGCTTCCTGATGGTTCCATGGGGATGTGCTCCGGTATGCATCTAGCTGTCAGGAAGAGTCACATTGCTGCTTAACATGCTGGATTGCCCTAGTCTTCAGAATGATCCTGAGAAAACATCACATCACTACTTTGATGTTCTACTTTGCCTTCCAAGGAGCAAAAATAACTTTGGAGCCTTCTGGGAAGTGTGCCCGGGAGTCTTCAGTGGTTGCAGGCAGATAGTTGAGACTGGGGCTTTGATATTCAAGGTCTTTGGCAAGAATCACAGGCTTGACCAACTGATACCAGGTCAAAGGTTTTTGTATTCTTGTGAATTTTTTTTTGTCCCTATTGCCCAGGGATGTCATTGTAAATATATGTGCATTTATAAATAATTTTTGTATTCATTGACCATATGTGTTGGCTGCAATGTAAATATTTTTGATATGCCCAAATTATATATAATACCCAGTTAGAATATTGACAGGTAGCTTCTCAGATCATAGATTTTAAATGACTTGATTTAGGGAGATCTAAAAACTTATTTAAGGTATAAAAACTGTGGCTCACACCTGTAATCCCAGCACTTTGAGAGGCTAAGGTGGGAGGATTGCTTGAAGCCAGGAATTTGAAACCAGGCTGGGCAACATGGTTAGACCCTGTCTCTGCAAAAAATAAATTTTAAAAATTAGCTGGCCGTTGTGACATGCTGCTGTAGTCCTAGCTACTCAGAGGCTGAGGTAGGAGGGTCCCTTGAGCCCGGGAAATCAAGGCTGCAGTGAGCTGTGTGAAGCCACTGCACCCCAGCCTGGATGACAGAGCAAGGCCCTGTCTCAAAAATAAATAAAAAGTTTAAAAAATTTACCTGTTAAGAAGTGTATCTATAGAGGCAGCTACTTAGTGATTGCATATACTTAAACACAGTCTTGGTGTAATTAACCACTTCCTTCATGCATAGGGGTTCATACTTTTGGTCATTTGCCATCTGTTTAAAAGTGCTAGGTGATACTCCCTTTCTAACATAAAAAAGCTTGTTTTTTCTGAGCCTGGCAGTCCTGTCACAGCTGTATGCACCTAAAGGAAAACTTGTTTGGAAATTCCTCTCATTTCTTCCTTCTCTTCCCTCCTTTCCCTTCCCTCTTTTTTACTGAGGCAGAAATTGATTGAGGAAAGTTCAGTCATTCCTTCAGGAACCAGTGAGTTAGATGAGATAATAAAGTACATTATACTTTATGTATAATGGACGCTTCAAAAACTGGAGGCTGATTTAAAGATTGCAGAACTTGGATCGGAATCATAAGCAGTACTGTGACATGAATTGGAGCCAGAACAGTTGCTGATATCAGAACCATTCTGTGACCTTGCTCTTGCCATGTTTTGATGTGGGTGAGCCACTAGGATATCTGTCATTGTCACTGTCCGTATCTGAGTCTTCAAATCTTGTCATTATGCTTTAATGCTCTTGGAGTTGCAACAGGTGTATTATTTAAATGGGTATTTGAAATTCTGTGAACAGGAATTCTGTTGGTACTGAAATAAGTTCTCACACCTGCTTGCTCAGAATGTGAAAACTATTTCTGAGTTCTCCTTGTTCACTTTCTAAAGTGACTGTTGTTTGATGTTTGAGATATTAACTGAGTTCTATTAGGTATGCTATCTCTTGGCAAATATTCTCCATGATGAACTCTTCCTACTATGACAGCCAGGACTATGACTGGATTTCTCAGTCTGAGTGTCCCAGATTTATAATTTCTGATTGTGTCTGGAGAACATTCTCCTGGAAAGGCATTCCATGTTCCAAAAGCTGCAAAAAGATGACCACTTCGCAACGATGGGTCAGTTATTTGCTCCCTTAATGTCTCTTGTTGCTGAGTTCTAGAAAACCTCTCAGTCTGATTTACCAGGGGCCATTGAAAAGTCTGAGATGGTGTATGATCATGAAATATTTGTGAAATTTCTCACCATGAATTTGGAGGTAACCTACTTTCAATTCTCGCTCTGGTTCTCTGTTGGTCTGGGCTCCTGCTTTTCAGTCTTCTCTGACCTCTGGTAAGTAGAACTTTCATCAATACTTCTGTTGCACTTTGTACCTGACCTAGGTGGCCTTGGTAATGTTGACCCAGATTGTGGATTTTCTACTTTTCTCTGGCTGTATTCCTTATTTTCTCCCTGGGAAGTCTTGCAGATGATGCATATTCATGTTCTATATTCAGCCTTCCTTTTTTTTCTTTTTGCTGGCATAACAAAATATAGCCTTTTATTATTAAGGATAAAATTGATCTCTACATTGAATCTGAAGTTACTGCTATAGGGATTACTCTGGCTCACTGCTGTCCAAGCTTGGTTTTCTCTTTGCGCACTTTCTGTCATATTTTGAGTTTGTCCAAAAGAGGTAAGTCACTCTATTATAGACGCATTACTAGTACCAGACATCATCCACCTCTATTTTCATCTGATTCTTGTAGGAAATCCTCTCTAATTTGTTGTAACCTTCTCAGCAACTCTTGTATACTTTCACCTACAGTGCCTAGCAAATTGTTACCACTCATAAGCCTGTAATCTTCATCACTCAGGTTATTTACAAATAGACATCTTCTGGAAACAATTGGTCCATCCAACTTCTGCACTGGGCCACATCCATCTTCTTCATTGTCAGAATCTGAGTTTTCTGTCTTAAAGAACAGCTGGACAGTTGTCTGACTGTTATGACACAGTATTGAAATACCAGGCTGAATTTTAGTTGTTTCTAGTTGTGTTCACGTTGTGCATTCTCTGAATGGGAATCTCTGTTCAGCAAAGCTTCATTGACCAGGAAACCAAAGATTGCTTCTTTTCTGAGTTTGATTTGTTTTTAATCTTTTACCGATGAGCAGTATATCTTAAGAAGCGAAGAGTGCTCTTGGGGGTAGAAGAACACGCAAAAATTATCATTTTTTTTTGAGATGGAGGACCTATCTGTTACCCAGGCTGGAGTCCAGTGGTGTGAACTTGGCTCACTGCAACCTCTGCCCCCCGGGTTCAAGTAATTCTCTTGCCTCAGCCTCCTGCATAGCTGGGATTACAGGCATACCACCATTTCTGGCTTTTTTTTTTTTTGGTATTTTTAGTAGAGACAGGGTTTCACAATGTTGGCCAGGCTGGTCTTGAACTCCATATCTAAAGTGATCTGCCTGCCTTGGCCTCCCAAAGTGCTGGGATTACAGGCGTGAGCCACCACGCCAGGCCCCAAAATTCTTACACTGTAAAGTCTTGGAGTGGCCTTTGTTTTGTACGAGTGATTATTTAAGCCAAAAAGTTTTCTTGCATTTCCCATAGCAAAGAGCTTTAGGTAAATGAAGAACTTCACACTCTAATATAATGTAATTCTTTTTTGTGTTTTCAGGTTTTCTTGTATAAGCTGTTCTGTTCTCTCCTCTAAATCCAATATTACTCATTAGATAATTTCAGTCACTGAAATAAAAATATCTATTTTTAAGTCCTTGTTCAAGGGTTCTAAACTCACATAATTTCTCAACATTTGCCAGAAAGTTCAGCATTTATTCATACTTTTTTTTGAGGTGGAGTCTCGCTTTGTCACCCAGGCTGGAGTGCAGTGGGATGATCTTGGCTCACTCTAACCTCAGCCTTCCGGGTTCAAGCAATTCTCCTGCCTCAGCCTCCTGAGTAGCTGGAATTATAGGCATGTGCCACCACGCCTGGCTAGTTTTTTTGTATTTTTAGGAGAGATGGAGTTTTAGCATATTGGCCATATTGGGCTCGAACTCTCGACTTTGTGATCCACCCGTCTTGCCTCCCAAAGTGCTGGGATTACAGGCGTGAGCCACTGCGCCCGGCCTATTCATACTTATTTTCAATCCTATGTTTTCTCCCATGGGCAGCAGCACTTCTTTAGCTGTTTAGTAGTGCCACACCTCTTTTCTTTCCTTTCACGTGTCAGCCTCTGACCATTTTCACTTTGAACTTCCTAAAAATCACAATTTCCTGTCCCTTCAATATGCGATTTCTCTTCTTTCTTACTGGATTATGGTGTAGTTTATACTAGACTGGCTCAGAATTTAAGAGACCTCATTCACTTCCTGACTCTACTTGTTACTGGCTTTGTAATCAAGGGTGAGTCTTTTTACTTCTCTAGGCTAGATTTTCTCATTTATGAAACAAGGATATTTTCCTAGATTCTCTAAAGCCCTTTCCAGCTGTAACATTCTATTCTAGGAATCTGTAATTCCCTCCAGGAACTAAGGAGGATTATGCTACTTTAATAAAAAGCTGCTTTCATGACATGTTCGTTTGAATACAAAGAGTGATACTGCTCATTCTGACTTGTGCCAGATTTATTTCCTTTATAGGAGGAGTAATGGTCTAAGAAATACTCATTAGGAGAAAAAAATTCTGCTTCTAAACAACATTAGTAAACAATGGAATCTTGACTCAGTTGAAAAAGCACTCATTGCTCTCTAGAGCAGCATGTCTGAATGCTGGTTTTATAGCACGCTAGAGTATCAGAATGAGTTGACAGGTGTACCACAACTAATGTGTAACTAGTTTGTGACTCACTTTGCTAATGTATTCAATGTTATCCCTATAATTATAGTACTCTCACTCAAATTCTGGTAGATTTCCTGAGTGGAAAAGGTGGAGTTAGGACAAGGCTGCCAGAGACTGTGCAAATGAGCATCAGCTGTCATGGTGAGATGGCAGAAGATAGCCAGTGCTCTAGAAAACTTTTCGTGTAGGTCTGCTGCCTCTCTGCTCTGGCAGTGGTCCTTCTACTGACAGTGCTGTCAAAGTCTGGTCTCCTGGAGAGCCAGGTTGTTTTCCATCCTGTCAACTCAGATGATTGAGATGTTTTTCTTAGATATTCCTAGCTTGCCTAAATAATCAGGAACCTATTTAAATAGACACACACATACGCAAATCTTAGGAAAAGGAATTTGTGAAACTTCATTATTGCATATGTTTTTGATCAAGCGATGCATTGGTCTCTAAGCAGTATTAGTGTCCCATGAGTTTCTTCCAGCAGTGCCATGTCTGCCTAATGCTAATTTAATTAGGAATGCTGCAAAGCAAGGCAAACTGAAATACTGAAATACCTTCTTTCCTCACTGTCCCCTAGTTGACCACTTTATTTCAGTAGGAATATATAAATTCTCTTGATTTGTTTGTCCCCTTTCAGGCTGATTCTCCAAGTCTACCTGGAAGAAAAGACAGTATTCCTTGAGCTCCATGCCCTACCGGCACAGGATCTATGCTTATAGCATTGTTTTTCTGTAAGTCAGCAACTTCTAAAGTACTTTCTTTTTTTGAGACAGGGTCTCACCCTGTCACCCAGGCTGGAGTGCCATGTTGTGATCATGGCTCACTGTAGTTACTGCAGCCTCCATATCTCAGGCACAAGTGACCCACCTCAGCTACCCAAGCAGCTGTGCCATCACACCTGGTTAATTTTTGTATTTTTTGTAGAGATGGGGTTTCACCTTGTGGCCCAGGCTTATCATAAACTCCTTGGCTCAAGCAGTCTCCCCACCTCAGCCTCCCAAAGTGCAGGGATTATAGGCATGAGCCACCGCACCTACAGTACTTTCCCTAGTATACAAGCTACTCTCTCTTGAAAAAAATAGCAGGAACCCATTCCAAGTTCCCCTAAAGTGCCACCTCAGAATGCCTTCACATTACCCATTGTGAGGCTCTAAAAGGAACAATATAAGATGTCAAGCAATTTAGATTCTGTTACCCATTTCTCTATGACAAAAGAGATGTGTTAAGTCTTTAGCTACTTGAAGGGTTGTCGTGAAAAATAAGAATTTTATTCCAGAGGACAGGAGTTATACACAGGGAGGTGTATTAGATACTTGCTGATAAATTTTGTGTAGGCTGTTTAATAAATTTATCTGGTAATGGAATAATCAGGCTTTTTGGTGGAAAGGTACATGCAGAAGCTAAATCATCATCTATTAATAGTGTTTAAGAAATTTCTTCAGTCCTGCAGCAGCCTGTCTTTCCATTCAGCAGGACAGATGCCTTTGTGTCCTTCACCAAGGACTTCTGGCAGGTGGAGCAGCCACAGCCATCTCCAAGATGGCGATAGTGCCCATTGAGCCGGTCTAGCTGCTGCTGCAGGTGCAGCATGCCAGCAAGCAGATCAACGCAGATAAGCAATACAAGGACATTTTAGACTACGTGGTCCGTGTTCCCAAGGCAAAGGGAGTCCTGTCCTGGTGCGGAAACCTGGCAGTGTCATCAGATACTTCCCCACCCAGGCTCTCAACTTTGCCTTCAAAGATAAATATAAGCATATCTTCCTGGGTGGCATGGATAAGAGGACCCAGTTTGGCTCTACTTTGCAGGGAGTCTGGCATCAGGTGGTGCTGCTGGGGCCACATCCTTCTGTTTTGTGTATCCTCTTGATTTTGCCCATACCCATCTAGCAGCTGACATGGGCAAAGTTAGAGCTGAAAGAGAGTTCTGTGGCCTCAGTGACTCTGGTTAAGATCGACAAATCTGATGAAATTAAAAGCCTGTACCAAGGCTTTAATGTGACTGTGCAGGGTATTATCATCTACCATGCTGCCTACTTCAGTATCTGACACTGCAAAGGGAATGCTTCCGGATCCCAAGAACACTCAACATCATCATCAGCTGGATGATCACACAGACTGTCACTGCTGTTGCTGGGTTGACTTCCTATTTGACACCATTTGCCGCCACATGATGATGCAGTCAGGGCACAAAGGAAGTGACATCATGTACACAGGCACGCTTGACTGCTGGAGGAAGATTGCTTGTGTTGAAGGAGGCAAAGCATTTTTCAAGGGTGCATGGTCCAGTGTTCTCAGAGGCATGGGTGGTGCTTTTGTGCTTGTCTGGTATGATTTCAAGAAGTGCATATAAGTTATTTTTTAGGACTTTTTCCCCCGTCAACAGGTATTTTCTATTATATAACATACCTTGAGCCTTCTTGACAGACTCCTGGCAGTCAGTTTATCAGTGGCAACTATTTACTGGTTGAAGATGGGAAGCAGTAACAGTCATCTGACCAGTTTTCTCTTAAAGTCATTTCCGTGGTGATGATGATGGCAGTAAATTACATTTTTTTTATTTTAGTCACTCCTGATAGTTTGGAGAAATAAAAATATCTAAAATTAAAAATTCTTCATTGAGATAGAATATGGGCAAGATGACCTTTAAGGTCCTTTTCAGTTTTATCACTGGAAATCCCCAGAAGCAATCTTATAGTCTTAAAACTTTGTCCTTTCAAAGTCCTTTGTATTCATATAGAGCTCTTCAGGAAACCAGAGAATTTTGGGCTTTGGTTGACAAAAGGAGTCTGACCTGTGTTCGTAGCTGGAAACATGAAACATGAAATTCTGGGCTTAATTCTTCTGAAGAAATCTTTTAAGTAGTTACTAACATAAATGACATTACTAACAAATTAAAAAACCCATGATGTATTAAAACTTTACTCTTTTTTATTATTATGATTTTAAGACAGTCTCACTCTATTGCCCAGGTTGGAGTGCAGTAGCACGGTCTCAGCTCACTGCAACGTCTGCCTCCCAGGTTCAAGTGATTCTACTGCCTCAGCCTCCAAAGTAGCTGGAATTGATTACAGATGCCTGCCACTATGGCCAGCTAATTTATGTATTTTTAGTAGCAAGGTTTCACCATGTTACCCAGACTGGTCTCGAACTCCTGACCTCAAGCGATCCGCCCATCTCGGCCTCCCAAAGTGCTGGGATTATAGGTGTGATCCACTGTGCCCAACCCTCTTGATCATTTTTATTCTTGTTTCTTCTTACCTGTGGGACTCCAGTTCGAAAGGGGTTGGAATTGTGGTGTTCAGTTTTATACTAATATTTTACCCAAGTGTGTCATGGCTTTTTCTAATCATTTTAATATCCACAGAAATGCTGGAAGGGTAATGGAATAACAGGTAAATTTGCTGTCATTTTATGCCACAGCCTCCTTTCTGTTTTGCTTCTTGGTATGGATTATAAAGGTAATTGTGAAAACAGCTGGACCTTAGAAAGTTGAGCTAAGATTCTTTTTTTGGCAACCTGCAAGTAATGTTTCATTTTTTTTATTACATGATCTCTTTCCCCATATAGTTGGCAGATGTTTTTTTCCATTTTCCTACCTTAAACCTTTTTGTTTGGAGTACAGTCTAAAACCAACATCAGTTAGCCTTGATTTTCTTTTTTTTTTTGGACAACCACCTGGTTAATTGATAAAAGTAACAAGTTTGGAAGTAAGAGGTATGTTACAAGCTGCACTTAACAACACCTGAAAACCCAAGAGTCATCCGGAGGCTTTGTCAGTAGTAAGGTAGGTTTTGTGTGTGTGTGTGTGTGTGTGTGTGTGTAGAGAGAGAGAGTGTGTGTGTGAGAGAGACAGAGAAGATGGAATAGGGTGAAGGTGAAGAAACAGCTTGACTTGTGCCTCTTTTCAGATAAAGAAGTAAAGTGATCTTTTATGAACTGTAACTGTCTTGAAAGAGAAATTGATCATCAGGTGGTCAAGTACTCTTGGAATGTCTCTTGGCTGTTCACTGTGGCCTCTTTACAATGGTGAGACTATTTCTACCCTCTATTTTCCACTATTCTTTTTTTCCCCTATGGGATAATGCCAGTCTAAATAGCCCTAATACTAGATGTACCTAAGAAGAGGTATAAGCCAAGTCATTGTTCAGTGCAGTCATTTCCCAATATCTGTTTATATTTTGTCACACATCAGAATGTGTATTTTATAGAGCATGTCTGTGTTTGTCTACTTGTCTGTCTACTATAATATGTCTTTAATAAAGCTAAAATACATTATGATTTTCTAGTCATCTTTTGCCTAATGTACAGCAGTGAAATGGTACATTTTTGAGTTTGTATCCTTTTGAGGGGGTCTCTCAGTAGCTGTACAAGTGATAACAGGGTAGAGTTGTTGCCAAGTCACATACTGCCTTGAGCCTGCCCCGGCTGCCCCTGCAGCTGTGAGTTGTGAGGACACGTACTTTGCTGCTTCCTCCCTGGTCGTATCTACCCTGGTGCTAGATGTCTGGCAGATGTGTAAACAAATACACTTAATAATTCATCAGAAAATAAGAGTGCTTTCTGCACAGGGAAGGATATGAAGGCAGCATTTTCTAACCTGGCAAATCTTTCATTAACAGGATATTTGAAGAATGTTAATATTCTGGTCAACTTTGTTACTATACTGTATCATAGGGGCTATTTCCTTTGAGGCTAGCAACTCTTTGAAAGCTGGGTTCATAATATTTACCCCACTGTGTACTTCTTTTTTTCTTCGCAGCTAATTTTTGCCTTTTTAGCAGAGATGGGGTCCATCGTGTACTTCTACTGCACTTTATTCTTTAGAAGGCACTTTCCACAGACGTCTCACTTGAATTTCACAACACTCTTACGATCCAGATTGGGCAGACAGTTTTACTTCCCACATTTTATACTTACGGAAACTGGATTATCACTTACCCAATATCAAAAGCTTTTGTTTCACCTCGCCCACTTCCTCCTTTTCTTTGTTTACAAACTTTTGATATTAGGTAAGTGATGATTTCACCAAGTCCTGGGCATCCCATCCCTGAGAGCATTGGCCAGAAAGATGGCAGAATTTGAATCCAGGTTTTCTGACTCAAGAGTTTTCGCCACTACGATACCTTCCAATTCAAGCATAGTATCCTCTCTGTAGTCTCCATAAACACTGGGATAAAACTTTCTGGACATTGATCACTTCCGGTGTGAAAGTTTGGACTGAAATATAAACTGGAAACGGCTTTTTACTAAATTTCTAATAGAAAAATTAGACTTTTTTTTTTCTGTTTCAAGGTGATATGCAAAAAAAAGCCATGTTTTTTTTTATTGTTAATTGTCTTTTATTTTGGAGTGGGACGTGCTAGTGGGAGCATCTTGCTGAGTCATGAAAGATATCTGTTCACACTTGTACATATTTAGTGCTTGTGACAGTGCTTAAGCAATCTGTGTTGGAGGACTAGTTGCCGTGGATCAATACTTTGGTACAATACAACAAGAATTCCCAGAAAAGTTAAAATACAGGCACAAAATCTTTATTACAGATTCAACAAACAAAATTACTATCAGACTGCAATTAAAATTTCCAAATGCTTATTCTCAGTCTCTAGAGTTTATCGTGGACAAACAGCACATAGTTTGTGATGGGCACAAGTCTGCCAGTCAGTCAGTTCTGTAGTAGAATTGCTGTAACTGTATAACAGTGCATTTATATGTCAGTGTGGGAATCGGTTTAACTTATTTTGGGAGGTCCTTTTAATCTTGCTGGTATGATATGATTGAAACTGAGGACTGGACTTTTGTCCAGAGGCCTCCCTGACTAGAAGCAGCAATTAAAACACCTTTTCAGCTCCCCAGATTCCTCCTGTCCTTCGGCTCCTCACTTGCTGGGTAGAGTCATTCGTAGCATGCTATTTGTTTTCCAGGTCTGCTGTCTTTCTGGCTAGTGCTGTCAGGGGTGGGCTGCCTGTGACTTGGCTAGAAGGGAAATTGTATCACAAGAGGGGGAGAGGGAAGAGGAAGTACATGGGTCGTTATTCTGGGAGGGAGGTGGTCTGATGCTGTGGAGTCTCGTGGGCTTGTGGGTGATGACTAGAGTAATGCTTCATCTGGGCTGTTTCATTCACCACCTCTACTGCTTTGCTCAGCCAGTCAAGAAATACTTCTTGAAATCTCTCGGCTAGAGATTTGTCCCTGTTCATTTAGTTCTCAGACCTTCCCCAAAGGCCAGTCATCAAAGCACGGGCAAAAAGAGGCAAAAGGAAGTTTTAATCACAGTTACTGCTGGGACGAAGTGACGCAACTAACAGCAAACACATTCTGCTTTCCCCTTCCAAATACCGTGAAGCATTTTACACACTTAACATTTATTTACAACAAGCCCTTTGAGGGAGATACTCTTATCTCCTGTATTAGGTTGTTCTTGCATTGCTATGAAGAAATACTTGCGACTGGGTAATTTATTAAAAAAAAAGAGGTTTAATCAGCTCACGGTTCTGGAGGTTTTGTAGGGAGCATGGTGCTGGCATCTGCTCAGCTCCTGGGGAGGCCTCAGGAACCTTAAAATCATGGAAGGCGAAGGAGGAGCAGGCACGTCACATGGCAAAAGCTGGAACAAGACAAATTGATGGGAAGGTTCCACACACTTTTAAACAGCCAGGTCTTGGGAGAACTCACTCAATTCATGAGAACTCTACCCCCAAGATGCAATCACCTCCCACCAGGCCCCACCCACAACCTTGGGATTACATTTCAACACGAGATTTGAGTGATGACAAATACCCAAACTCTATCATCCCCATTGTACAGATGATGATCCTGGGTAAGCAAGTTGCCCAAATTAACATAATTAGCAAGCAGTACAACTAGGAGTTAAAAATTATACCTTCCTTATTTCAAAGCACACATTCTTTCCCTGTGCCAAACAAAGGGAAGAAGTGAGCTTTTATGAAACTCGTACTTTGTCACTTAGTCTTTGTTGTTGGCTAAACTGTTGTCCTCCCAACCCTCTGAAATTCAATACATCGAAGTCCTACCCCTCGGTACCTCAGAGTATAATCATATTACCAGATAAGATCTTTAAAGAGGCAGTTACGTTAAAATGAGCACAGAGCAAAGACGAAAGACCACATATGGACTCATGAAGAAGGAAGCCACAGAGAGAGCTCTCAGAAGAAACCAAGCTTGCTGACATATTGATCTTGGATGTCAAGCTTCCGGAGCAGTAAATCAATTGTTTAAAGTCATCCGGCCTCTGGAATTTTGTTACAGTAGCCCAGGCAAACTAATACGGTCTTTCAGCAGCACAGCCAGGCTGGTAGGATTTTCTTCAATTTTGAAAATAAAATTGTCTCAAGCTATATGATTTGCCAGAGGTCATGTGCTCCAAAGCCCCTGCTCTTTCTACTGAGCCACCCTGTCCTCTGACCCCATCCGGTTCTTTGTATACTGAAATCCACTGTAGAGACTTAACATCCACACGGACATTCTGAGGAGAGCTTGGAAGTGAAACTGATGAGCGCCCTGTCTAGTGTGCTTGCCGTTCTGATGCACCACACATCCCCAGCCTCACAGAAGTTCAAGCAAAAGGTATCTGCAGCACTGAACTATACTTGCTGCAAAGCAAGACACTGGAGTATCTTCATGACATAAATGAGTGCATCTGGGGACAAGGAAGCAAGTTGTTTGCAGCTTTCAAGAGTAAATACTTTTAAACGCCTGTCTTATTCTTTCTTCCCAAGGACAAACCGGATTTTGAAATCAGTATGTAGGATCTCATATGCGGAATGACTGGCTGCTCTTGAGTTTACTCAAAATCAAGTCGTGTGATTTTGCCTCCTTTCTAAATGCTCCATCAAAGCCCATGTGAATTTCTCTGTCTGGCCAACAGTAGGTATGTGGTTTAAGGTCAGCAGTTAATAGAGGCTAGTTTGAATTATTTATTCCGGGCAAGCTCCAGAGGCAAGCACACGGGTATATGCTCCATGCCAGAAACAGCTAGTGCAGAGAAGAAACAATTGTCATCAGTGAATTTCTGCCGCCTCCATGGTTCTGTTCTTTATACATGTAACCTGGAGGTGGCTCAGGGACTACACAGATAGGCTCTTTCTAAGAAGAAACTTAAGATTCAGGTGTGTGAGGTTTAGTGTTTTGACTTTTGGAGAAGCACAAAATCATCATAAATTGCAGGTCTGGGGGAGAAGTGGTGCATCATGTTGGCAGGAGCCTTACCCTTTGGGCCCCACTCCTCCATGTGCACCAGCTTTCTCACGCCTTTTCCAGACCTCAGTCGCTTGTCTCACCTGCCAAATGTGTACCATTTCCCAGAGTGCCCCTGAGTGCAAAACACTATAAAACCCAGGGAGGAGGCCAGGCACGGTAACTCACGCATGTAATCCCAGCACTTTGGGACGCTGAGGCAGGCAGATCACAAGATCAGGAGTTCGAGACCAGCCCAGCCAATATGGTGAAACCCCGTCTCTACTACAAATACAAGAATTGGCCAGGCGTGGTGGCACATGCCTGTAGTCCCTGCTACTCAGGAGGCTGAGGCAGGAGAATCGCTTGAACCGGGGAGGTGGGGGTTGCAGTGAGCCAAGATTGCGCCACTGCACTCCATCCTGGACGATAGAACTAGACTCTGTCTAAAAAAAAAAAAAAAAAATCCCAGTGAGGAGAGAAGTTTGAAAACTACCTCACGTCTTCTTCCCTGTTGAAAGCTGCAGTATTTCTCCCTTTGGGCAGCCTTAATTTACAGAAGGCCCCAAGAGCGCATTACTTTTCTTAGTTCAGGGAAGGGATTTTGTAAAGATAAATCCCAATTTACAGAAATGACTGTAAGTTTTGACCAGAAGTCCTTACTTGTATCTAAGTTCTGAATGTACGACTTGTTAGTGAAATGGTTACTGAGGCTGATGGAAGAATTTAAGAACAGCATTTCTTCTGTAGCTCCTGAATGCAGGGGTGTGGCTTTTAGAATGTCTTTGGTTACAGAAACAAACCCGTTCAGTTTTCTTTCTCTCCCCATTAAGCCAGAACGTTTCCTTCCTTATTGCTCTTCCTACCTTTCTTCCAAACCCCAATAAAAGAGTTTGGTCAAAAGAACTATCAACTAAACCCCCAAGTCTCCAGTTTGCCATCCATGGTGGGAGTTCCACGGCTAGGCAGGGCTGCCAATGTCCTGCAGAGATAGCTGGCTACACATAGCGACGTATATGAGGATTCCTGTGGTAAGCCAAAGTCCTTGGGCCCTGCATTTACTATATGGTTTTTAAAAGTGCTCTGAATGATTCAGAGCATTGCCTTTGACAGAAATGGACTCCAGTCCTACCCCCACCTCTTACCAGTTGTGGGAGCTTAAGCCAGTTTCTTAGATGCTTTGTACCTCATTCCCCTTATCTGTAAAATGGAAATAGTCATGCTTCCACTCAAGATGGGGCAAGGGGAATATTAATAGCAAGAAGTAACCCCAATGAGCTATTTTAGGGCTAGCCCTGGAGATTGGGATTCCTAGTTGGATTTTGCTTGGAAACAAGATACAATATCCTGAAACTATGATTAAGTGAAAAGTGCAGGCCAGACATGGTGGCTCACGCCTATAATCCCAGTGCTTTGGGAGGCCAAGGCAGGTAGATCACCTCAGGTCAGGAGTTCCAGACCAGCCTGACCAACATGGTGAAACTCCATCTCAACTAAAAATACAAAAGTTATCTGAGCATGGTGGTGTGTACCTGTAGTCCCAACTACTCGGGAGGCTGAGACAGAAGAATTGGTTGAACCCAAGCAGGTGGCAGTTGCAGTGAGCCAAGATCACTCAACTGCATTCCAGCCTGGGCGGCAGAGCGAACTCCATCTCCAAAAAAAAAAAAAAAAGGAAAGAAAACTTCATTCGGCTAGAGTCCATTGGACTTGTATGCTGAGCAGTTCTGACTGACTGTGATCTTGTGAAGTCTTGAGGTCACCTGATGTCTCCCCATCACTGCCCCCGTAGTGTCTTTGTTTCTTCCAACTGGTTTATAGTGGTTCTTCTTAACTTTCCCAGGAGAGGACTCCCTTTATCTGGAGAACAATACTGTCAAAGTCTTGCATGGGATTTTGAATGTGAGTCTTGCATGAGAGGGTCAAAATTGAGAAACTTTGACCCTCCCAGAAAGTATCTAGTGTTAACTGAGCAACAATGAGCATCTTTCCTAAATGAGGGCCGTCCTCGGCCCACAGATTCCGCCTATAGTGTATTTCCAGTTGTGTAGGAATTCATGCAGTAATCTATGGCAAACTGAAGTACTTCTCAGAATGTTCTCTTCAGGACTCAGTGTGTTGGCTTCATACCAAGGGGGATGGCGGTACTGGGGAAGCTGCAGATGTTCTGGAAGCAGAGCACTTGAGTTCAAATGTTGACAACTCTTGATTTGCAAAAAAGAAAAAAAATCTTGACGACTCCTCTTACAGGCAAATTACTCAATTCCTTTGAGTCTCTGTTTCCTTCTCTGCATGACAGCAGTGATAGTACTCACTTCACAAGATTACTGTCAGCACCAAGTGGGAATCACTTCTGCTGGCGAGAAGAAAACACTTCAGTTTCTGTAAGTCTAACTTATTTGGGTGTATGGGTAAAGAAAATGGCAACTTCATTTCCTCTGGGCCCTTTGGGGGATCAATGGACTGCACTTTATCCTGGGGGAACAGCTGTGGCTTTTTCATAGATTCAAACCTCACTCTCATTTCCCCAAGGCTCCTCCGGGTTGACTCTAAAGGGAACCCCTTGTTTGAATTGTTGGTCTGTAGAGGCACCAGCAGCTGCTTGCCTGCAATAATATGTCGCAGCCTCTGTGGACATTCCCTGGACACTGCACCCAGCTGCTGTCCCCAAACAGCCGCAAATTAGGATGCTTTGACAAGGAGAGTTTGAATATTTTATGTATCTTGTTTTCCAATTACACTTAAGAATTCAATAAGCTGAGCAGTAGGAAGCTGAATTGCTAGCCTGGCAAAGGAATGAACAGAAAAACCTAAATAATTTAAAAAGAGGATTAAAACGAATGCCCTTGCTCCGTGTAGGAGCCTGGCTCACTTTTCTTGGTACTCTGCTGTTCCTGATACTGTTGAAGATGGGCCTTGAAGATCTGGAACCATGTAGCTTGGATTTTCTTCAGACCAAAATACCTCGATGCTCATTTTGTTTTTTTTTTGAGACAGAGTCTCTGTTGCCCAGGCTGGAGTGCGGTGGCGCAATCTCAACCCACTGCAACCTCTGCCTCCCAGTTCAAGCGATTCTCGTGCCCCAACCTCCCGAGTAGCTGGGATTACAGGCACCTGCCACCACTCCCGGCTAATTTTATTTATTTATTTATTTTTTAAAGACGAGGTTTCACCATGTTGGTCAGGCTGGTCTTGAACTCCCAACCCCAGGTCCCCCGCCTCCCTTGGCCTCCAAAGTGCTTGGATTACAGGAGTGAGCCACCACTGTAAAAATTAGCCCAGCCTGCCCGGCTAATTTTCGTATTTTTAGCAGAGACTGGGTTTTGCCGTGTTGGCCAGGCTAGTTTTGAACTCCTGACCTCAGGTGATACTCCCACCTTGGCCTCCCAAAGTTCTGGGATTACAGGCATTGAGCCACCACACCCAGCCTCGATGCTCATTTTGAACTGTCAACTTACCTTCGATGCCTTTGTAGAATCGTCCAACTGCTTCTCCATAAATGGTCCAGGATTAAAGTGTATTCATGTTCAGTGTAGGGCAGCTGATTCCAGAAATGTAAGCCAAATCAGAAAACTCTCCTAAAAAGGATGCCCTATCTACTGCAAAGCTGTCTTCCCAAGCTAGCCAGTAAGTCTGAATTTGGGCACAGAAGAAGAGGAGCAGATGGGTTGGGGTCTGAGATGCAGGGCAAACTGGAGGGTTTTCTTGGCATATTTGCTCTTCAAATTTAGATTTTAGAATATGTGAGAAATAGTGACATTCTCACATTGGTCCTAAGCCATGGAGGAAATCGTGCCCCATTGAGAAGTGGAGACATTTCAGCCCTTGCTATCTCATCCGCAAACCACAGGATTGGTGAAGGGGCTGATGGAGTCCTTTTAAAGGTCTTGCGCCATTTTCTTGCCTTTCTGTCTTTTTGTTCAAAGCCATCTCTTTTTCTCATGTTTTCCATCTTGAGGTAAAATTGAAAACAGCCTACATATTAGTTTGGGCTAGAACTGGCCTCTAGGTGGCGATTCAGTACAGAGAATGGTGGTGGCTGGCGTCACCTCGAGCCACCATTTCTGAGCTACCATTATAGAAGGGGATTCTTGAGAACTCGGGCTTCACAACAGAGAGACGGCTTGGCCTTTGTCACTGTTTAAGCTGGGATCCTGAAGAGGTCGGGTGCATGGGGAGCTGTGAAAGCACCTAGCCTCAAGCAATATAACATGGGTTTAAGGCTCCCACTAGGACGGAGCCCAGGGGAGTTTGGCAAGGTTGTAAGGTTTGGGCTTGGCCTGCTGGGAACCTTGAGCCTTGAGCTTCAGGCTTTGTTCCCTCCCTTCTGGGAGGCCTCGCTCAGGCTCACAGCCCCTGAAGGAGCCCTCAGCTTGGTGGCTGCCGGCCCAGGCTCTCCAGAAAAGGCAGACAGCTCCTAGTTGAAGTCCCCTAACTTTACCTCCTTTTCCTTTCCCCTGCTCCCTCCTCCTTCTCTTCTTCTTCACCCCTTCTTCCCTTCTGCCCCCCCTTCTTCCTCCTCCTGCTTCCCCACCTCCTCATACACCCCATTCTCACTTTCAGCTATTTACAAAGCACTTTCCCGGTGTGATCTCATTTGCTGCTCACAGACTCCTAGAGAAGAGTGCCAGGTTGAGCCCTCCCTTACTCCCCGGCACACTCGGAGGACACAGTGCAGAAGTGTTTATAAAGATCCCTTTATCTGTCTGTCACCACCAGCAAATAGTACCTTGGGGTGACTACTGAATTCAAATGAGTGCATGTTGCTTGGCATGGAGGAAGTCTCAAAATTATTTACTGAATCAACAAATTATAGTTGCAAACAACTAAATAAAGGGACAGTAGGTAGCAGAGTCCATTCTAGAAGTTAGGCTTCAGACTTGTAGGACCAGCGATATTGCTGCACTAGGTACTAATTATATCACAGTTTTCTGGTAAAAAATACAGTATGTAAGTACATAAAGGGACCCATGCGGATCTGTCTGCATGTCTGGCACTCAACCACATGAAACTACTCTGGCACCAGTCTGCTGTCTGTCAAGGGACACTAGGAGCTGTGGGGCGATCTGGGGGAGCAGTTGGCCTTTCTGAGGCCTTCCTTAAAGTATGGGATAGGCACTCTGAGCTTCTCATTATCAAAACCCTTCTGTCTTTAACTGATCTAACGTATTGAGATAAAAAGCACCACTCAGTTATTACTCATCCCACTCCATTCCAATCCATCAATCAGTACTTTTTGTCTTTTGCTTAAATGTACACACTTCAGGCAGTTCAGGACTCTGCGATGAGACTATACGGGTCAAACCCTAGCTCTACCTCTGTCGAGGTGTCTGGCCTTGGGCAGGTTGTTTAACCTCTTTGCACCTCTCTTTCTCGTCTTTTAAATGATAATCCTAAGAATATTTAACTCATAACATTACTGTGGGGATTTAGGGCGTTAATATATAGAACACAGTGAGAACAATGCCTGGCAATAAGTCAAAGCTAGGAAGTGTTCAGTTGATATCTCCTTACAGTTTCCCGGCTTTGAGAATTGGCTTGTGTTCATCTGATGGAGGCGCTTCATGATTTTGTAGAATTCCCTGGAATGCTGTCATTTTAGCCATGAGGCTTTCAAGATTTTCCCACTCAGTTACAGCTTTCCTGAGGCCTAAAGAGGAGAGGAAGCGGCTGGCTGCGGTGGTTCACACCTGTAATCCCAGCACTTTGGGAGGCCAAGGTAGGCGGATCACGAGTCAGGAGATCGAGACCATCCTGGCTAACATGGTGAAACCCCATCTCTACTAAAAATGCAAAAAATTTAGCCAGGTGTCGTAGCACACGCCTATAGTCCCAGCTGAGGGGACTGAGGAAGGAAAATTGCTTGAACCTGGGAGGCGGAGGTTGCAGTGGGCCGAGATCGTGTCACTGCACTCCAGCCTGGGCGACAGAGCAAGACTCATCTCAAAAAAGAAAAAAAAAAAAAAAAAAAAGAAGAGAGGAAGTGATTTGAAGTGTATTTTTCTGCTAATGAGGACTGTGGCATTTCTATTTCATACACAGCATCCCCAGGTCTTTTTTTCTCTACAATAGTGCTTACCACTTAGCACACAGTAGGTGTTAAATAAATACTTGTGCCAGGAAGGGAGGAAGAAAGATGCAGTACAGAGGAAAACATTAATTAGTACATAGTAGTTTATATGGACAAGGTCCCAGTGGGGTATTCACTTGTTCCCTACGATCTAATGACTAAGCATGAAAATCACCAAGGAAATATGATCAACTCAGAGGAGAAGGAGGGGGAGGAGAAGAGAGAATAAGCTGGAGCAGCCTGTTACCTGACCGAGATATCAGTCCTTCCATTGCAAGTGGTTCCATCAGCTGAGGCCAAGTGGTAAACCTTGCCGCTGCTCTGGGACATCCAAGGCATCTCCAATTGCTGCCTGTGCCAGAGTTTCATCCTTTCAGGGGTAGTTTGTCATTTGCTTGGTAGCCTCTAAAGTACTCTTTCTTATGGCTAAAGACCAGCTAGCTCACCAGACATTTCTATGGGCTTTGGCAGGAGAAAGAGACAGGAGGCAGGCGATGGTCTAGGGTGGTTCTTAGGAGAAACGTTTCTGACCTTGGCAGTCTTATTCCAATTTATATGCCAAATTAGGCTACTAATAGATCCTCATCCACAACCCAAGCCCTCTAGCCTGAAAAGCTCAGAGTAGACAGAATGTAACTAGAAACTACTCTATGTTCTGTAAGGGAGTTGAAATTGAAACAGAGCTTTTCTAGTGAACACATTAGCTAATCAACTAGGTCACTTGTGGTAAGTAGGACTGTCTCAACTGTGCGCCAACTCTGATTGATGGATAAAGCCTGCCTGGGGAATTGTGTTGAGTTGGATTCTGAGTCTTCATCATCACATCTAGGTCCCAGGGGCCAGTGCTGTAGTTCACCATTAATGTCGGTCACAAGTGCGAGAATGAGGAGTCGCCCCAGGAGACATAGATGCTATAGATACATACCTGCTTGAGGAGGCTATTTGGAGTTAGGAAAACAAAGATGGTTGGTCAACTGTGCTCATTTAATTAAATCATGATAGACCTTGAACAATTCAACTCTTGAGGAAAATGTGGTATCAGCTCAGGAAAGAAGACACAGAAGGAATGAGAGTGGGGAGAGTGCAGTGTTCCAGTTCCATATCTCTGTAGTGCCTTCTCAGTATTTAAAACAGTCAGATAGGGCTAGGCATGATGGCTCACATCTGTAATCCCAGCACTTTGGGAGGCTGAGGTGGGTGGATAACCTGCGGTCAGGAGTTCGAGAACACCCTGGCCAACATGGCAAAACCCTGTCTAATACAAAAATTATCCGGGCATGGTGGCAGGCACCTGTAATCCCAGCTACTTGGGAGGCTGAGGCAGGAGGATCGCTTGAACTCAGGAGGTGGAGGTTGCAGTGAGCTGAGATTGCAGCCTGGGCAACAGAGCAAGACTCCACTTCAAAAAAATAAAAAATAAAGGCCGGGCGTGGTGGCTCACTCCTGTAATCCAAGCACTTTGGAGGCCAAGGCGGGTGGATCACCTGAGGTCTGGAGTTCAAGACCAGCCTGACCAACATGGTGAAACCCCGTCTTTAAAAAAAGAAAAAAAAATAAAAAATAAAACAGAAATAAAAACAGATTGAGAGGTAGCAGTCATGATGACATTAGATAGTTATTCTGAGTTGCAGTTCAAGACCTGGGAAGCTCCTGGAATAGACAGTTAAGCCACTGGCAACCAGAAGGAAAGGCAGAGAGAGTGTTTCCCAGAGTACTGTGAATTACTTAGTATCCATGAGATGTTTGAAGTATTTTGTCATGAAACACAGGCAGTGGTCGGGGAGGGGATTTCCATGGTTATTCAAGTTTGGAAAACCTGTCAAAAAAATTCAAGTTAAACTGTAGCCCAAGGTGGCTCTTGGCCTGAGGGAGTTACAGAAGAGAAATGTAATAAGCTAAGAAACCAAAAGTAGAGAATGGGTGAGGCTCTGAAAGGCCTCGGACGAAAAGATGAGGGATATCGTTTTGATTGGGAGGCATGGAGGATTTGTGGGCAAGGGAAGGGATACATTCAGGGTTGAGGGTTAGGAAAATAACTGTTGGTACCATGAAGATTGAATACAGAAGAGACTGGAGGTTAGAAGACTAATTAGAAAGGTGTTACATGGGCCGGGCACTGTGGCTCACACCTGTAATCCCAGCACTTTGGGAGTCCAAGGCAGGTGGATCACGAGCTCAGGAGATCGAGACCATCTTGGCCAACATGGTGAAACCCTGTCTCTACTAATATACAAAACATGAGCTGGGTGTGGTATCACATACCTGTAGGTAGTCCCAGCTACTCATGAGGCTGAGGCAGGGGCATCCCTTGAACCCAGGAGGTGGAGGTTGCCATAAGCTGAGACTGTGCCACTGCACTCCAGCCCAGGTGACAGAGCAAGACTCCATCTCAAAAGAAAGAAAGAAAGAAAGGTGTTATATGGTCCAAACAAGACTGCTAGCAGCCTAAACTTGGGCAGCTGCAATGGAATGAAAAGGAAGGGCCAAAGTCAAGAGACATTTTCATCAGTAATAATACGTCAGGTCTAGTCTGACCTCCAGCAGCACTCAAGTACTTGAAGGGCGATACTGACAGGGTACTGACCAGCCCTTCTCTACACCCTTAAGTTCAAAGCCAGCAGAGTGGGAGGTAAATTGCTGAGATGAAGCATTTGATTAGATAGAAAATGTATCTTCCTAATGCCAGGAAAAATTAAACCCTGGAAGAGTTACCAGAGCACTAGCATAGCTTTTCCACAGGAAAGCAGCCATCTGCCCTGGTCCTCTAAGGCACATGACCACTCAAAGCTCCTTTCTGCTCCATGAGTATATAATCAATGTATCTTACGAATCTGAATATTGACAGGGGCCTTAGAGCTGATGTAGTCAGTGGCTTTCAAACCTGACAACATCACGATCGTCTAGGGAGCTCACTAAAATGCAGATTCTCAACCTCCATTTCCAGAAACTTGGATTTGATTGGCAGAGTCTGGGAATCTGCATTTTTTGATGTCTTCAAGTGATTATAATGTATAATCAAATTTTTAGACCCACCAATTAATTTTTTAGTGAGTGAACTGAGGGCCAGAGAGGAGCAGGGACTTCCCCAAGGCCATACTGGCAAGGGTATCAGTTAGTGGCAGAGTGGACACTAGTATCCCATGCTTAGGGGTTCTCCAATAGGCCACAAAGAAATGCTTGGTCCCATTATTTGGCTCTAGGCTGAGGGTCACACAGTGAATAAAAGGTTCAGAAACCTTTCTTGTTACTCCCTACGCTCAAGGAGCTGTGTTGCTTCAGTATAGGATGTACACAAGAGTGCTGAGTGTTATTAACCGTAACAATAGTTAATGTTTGCTGTGTGTCAGGCCTTGCTCTAGGCACTTTACATAAAACTCTCTTAATCTGCACAATTACTCCCTAAGATCAATTTTATCCCCATTTTACAGAAGATGAAACTGAGGCACAGTGAAATTAAGAGGGCAGGATTTTGCTCTCACCATACATCCTGTCCTGATAACTGTTTTCCTTTGGCCTGGAGCACTCAGCCTTCACTCTGTAGTCACTCCCTTCACTTCACACACTCAGTACTGGCCTCTGTCTCTTACTTCTCCTCAGAGAGCCATTCAGAACAGAGCAGTGGAAGAGTTTGGCTCCAGAGTCCCAGTGCCACACCTCACGGTGGGGCCCCCTTTACTGAGAGTGGGACTGGACTGCTGAGGCAGCTGGCAGTGGGCAATAGTGACCAGTGACCAGCCCTGCCAGTTTCCCTGGAGCAGGACCTGCAGCTCAGCCAGGCAGCCAGGAGAGAGAGGCTGCTTCTCTTGCCAACTCCAGCTTGCTACTACAGGGGTGGGATTTACCAGGGAATTCATTCTTTGGTGATAGGGTTGGGAGTTCCTTTTGTAAGGCACATTCTTGGCCAGAGTAGTGCTGCATGGTTGCAGTGCTTTAAATAAGCCTTTATTGCTGGTGAATATTGATGAAGCACATATTAGTCTGTTTTCATGCGGCTGATAAAGACATACCCAAGCCTAGGCAATTTACAAAAGAAAAAAGATGTAATTGAACTTACGGTTCCATGTGGCTGGGAAGACCTCACAATCACAGTGAGGCCATGAAGATAAAAGGCACGTCTCACACGGTGGCAGACAAGAGAAGTTTGTGCAGGAAAACTCCCCTTTTTAAAACCATCAGATCTCGTGAGACTTATCGACAATCACAAGAACAGCATGGGAAAGGCCTGCCCCCATCATTCAATTATCTCCCACTGGGTCCTTTCCATAACACACGGGAATTCAAGATGAGATTTGGGTGGGGACACAGCTGAACCATATCCAAGACACATGTAAACATTGTCTCTAGAACTGCTGGTGAAACACCCATTTTGTTATTCAAATACCTTGTGTTAGGACTCACTTGACAAAAAGCTCCTTTGGACTTAGTCGAAAAAGCTGATTTCTCCTGGAGGCCCTGATGGTGAGTTTTCTTGGCTGTGTCTTATTTTGCAGTGGCTGCTCAGGATTCTGTTACTTGCTAAAGTGAACACTACATCTGATTTTGAGTTCTTGACAGAATTAACTTTTCCCTCTTCAGTTTTTCCTCCAATTTTAATGGTTATTAATCTGACTCCATTTTAAATTGCCCAGTAATGTGTGTGGTTTTAAACTACCTAATGGTTTACTGGAAACAAGCAGGACAGAAAATAAATGAATTAAATTTCTTATTTCTGTACTACAAGGGGTAATTATGGAGGAGTCTTTTTGACATTCATTTTATCTACATTTTATTTCTGTGATAAGAACAACAGCCAGTACTTAGTGAGTGCTTGCTATAGCTAGACACTGTTCTTTACACATATTAACTCATTTCATAACCATCCTACGAGGTAGGTATTATTATTCTTCCCATTTTACAGATAAAGAAACTGAGCCACAGATTAAAGAAGCTACCTATGTTCACACAGCTAGCAAACGGTAGAACCAGGACTCAAACTCAAAGCCAGTATCCCAGTGGTTCTTAACAGGGGATGATTTTACACCCTGGGGACGATTTTACACACAGCCTGGGGACACAGGAAATTTCTAGAGGTATTTATGGTTGTCACAGGTGGGGAGGTGCTCACTATCATGTACTGAGTGGAGGCAGGGATGCTGCTGGACACCCTGCGATGCACGAGTCAGACCCTCAGAACAAAGGATTATCTGGTCCAAAATGTCAGCAGTGCTGAAGTTCAGACACTCTGCTGTACACCAACCATTACATCATCACTTAGGCTTCACATATGCTCTTTAGTCTGTTTCTTTGTCCTTGATCTGCCTGGACAACTGAACATGCCTCAGAATCGCTCAGGCAATCGTGTCCACATTGGTTCACCCACTGTTAAGTGAGCACACACATTTCAGAAAACAGGCCTTGGTGCTCCTGTAGCCTGAAGAGCAGAAACCTAATGGGAAAAGACTGCTGAAAACAGGAAGCAAAAAGCAGAAAGCCTTCATGCCCACTGTGATTGCTGGTCCAAAGAAGGTCAGGGGCTGCTGAAGGAACATGTGGGCTTGTTACATTGGGGTAAGTGCCTCATCCTATGACTAGACCCACCCAGGAAGCCATAGGTTACTGAAGCCCCAGATCCCAAGTACTTCATGAGCTCCTGACACCTGCTCCTCCCTCCCTCTGCCCATGGCTCCCCTGCTCCCAGCTTCCCAGACACTAACCCCACATCCTGTCTAGACTACTGACTGAGAGCAGGCCCCTCTTATCTCCTCCATCTGACCTGGCCTACAGACACAGCTACCACTGTAAGCTCCCTGGGGCGAAGATGAGTCTTTCTTCCATCGCACCCTTGCACTGAGCATGCTGCAGGTACCTGTGTAAGTACATCTCAGCAGAAAACTCTTTGTATAGCCTCCTCATGCATAGTGCTAGAAGAATCCTCCTGTATCTGGCAGCTAGGGCATCACTTGTGGAAGGCAGTGATGTTGTGGAAAGAACACTGAGCAAGGACATGGCAGGCCTGGGCTGCTGAATTTGTGAACTCAGGACTGAGTGCACAGGACTCAGTGCAGGGCTGAGTTACAGTTGCCTCCTCTATGGTGCCTGGCAGGGGGCTCTGCATGGGGCTGGCTGTCAACAGTCATTTGTTGGATGGAATAAATGCATCACTGCTCTGCTCTGCTCTCCTTTCTGGACAGATGGAAACCACCCCTACCAATGGACCCAGGTGGTGGCAACAGCCTCCTCCATGCAGAGGATGTAAAAGACAGGGATGAAGAGGCTGAAGGGCTCACCCACCCCCTGCCTATTGTGCAGGCACCTGTGCACCGTGGTAAATTCTGCCCCTTGTCTGTGTCCTTGTCTCAGCCTACCCATTCCACCTCCCAGCCACACACACTGTGGTCTATATGGTCCTTGAGGTAAGGGACTGTTAGTTAATTAAATGGAGATTTATTAGGAGCCTATGTGGCCTGCTTCTACTGGCCTGCTTCGAATTGCCTGCTTCTTATTAGTTGCAGACACAGCAACTAGTAAGAAAGACATGGTTTCTGACTAGTGGGGAATAGAGATTTTGAGCTAATAACTATAAATGGGATAGTGTGAGGAAAGAGTAACAGGGGAGTTTGTTACTGCTTATCACCGAAATATGGAAATGCTGGAAATTCAGTGGATGGAATTTTCATCATAGAAGCTGTTTCTGAAAAAATACCCTAACACTTAGGCATGCTGAGTACCTTGAATTAAAGGACAGTGGAAGGCCTTGCAAGCAGCCTCAGAACAGGCTCTGACTTTCTCCTGCCCTTCTGTCTGTTGCCCTTCATGCTCCCCCGAAGCAAGTCATAGAACCCAGAATGCCTCTTCCCCAAAGCACGTCATAGACACTAGAGCCCCTTTCCCCCAGGGCAAACCATACAACCTAGAAATATGACTTTAACCTTCCCCCACCTCTCTGTGTAGGAGCTGGTCATAAAGAAATTATCTGCCCTACTCTTGTTCAATAGTGGGTAATAAGATCCTCATTCCGAAAAGGATCCTGCTTCTCACCTGGGAGGAAGAAATATCACACAGAGACAAAGAAGAACCTAAGCAGACAGGCCGTGCTGGGTTTCCCCACGCTGTCTGTTACTATTACATTATTCTCTTTTTGTCCAATCACATTTCTACATAGCTGTCCACCCTTCATCAAATCTAAAAATAAAAGTGGACAGTTTTCCCTTTGGTCTTCATTTCTGAAGGCTCCTGTATCAGTAATTTTGATTACATAAATCAGTTAGCTTTTTCTCTTGTTAACCTGTCTTTTGTTATAGGAGTGTCAGCTGTGCCCCTTATGATGGGAGGGAAAGGTATTATACCCTTTCTACCCCTAAAAAGAGCCGAACTCGTGTCTCATTCCTTGATACTGATCCTACCCACAGGCACATGTGGCAGATACATGCATGACCTGGTTTGATAAAGACTACAAGTACATCACCCCAAAATGTCCAACTTCAGGACCCACTATGATATCTTAGGTTGGTGCAAAACTAATTGTGGTTTCTGCCGTTAAAATGATACTCTTCTATGGCAATTGCAGTTTTTGCCATTAAAGTGATGGCGAAATGCTGCGATTTTTTATTTTTTATTTTTTTGATACGGAGTCTCACCCTGTCACCCAGGCTGGAGTGCAATGCTGCCATCTCAGCTCACTGCGACCTTTGCCTCCCGAGTTCAAGCAATTCTCCTGCCTCAGTCTCCTGAGTAGCCGGGATTACAGATGCCCGCCACCACACCCTGCTAATTTTTTGTATCTTTAGTGGAGATGGGGTTTCACTGTGTCAGCCAGGCTGGTCTCAAACTCCTGACCTTGTGATCCTCCTGCCTCGGCCTCCCAAAGTGTTGGGATTACAGAGATTATACCGGCCACTGCAATTTCTTTTGCATTAACCCAATAGTTAAAAGAGTACTGGAACTGTCAAAAGATCTGTTTTGTTTTCTTGTGGTATATTAGTTAATGTTTCTCAGACAATGTCTTTCTCAGCAAAATTAGAATAACAATGACCATCCCCAGCAACCCATCTGGTTACTGAATGGGGCTGGCCCTGTGGCAGCTCTCCTCTTTGAGCAGACCAGAACACCCATCCCCAGAGCAGGGCCAGGCCACATGAGGCCTGTGATTAAAACATCTGTGGTTGGGTGCTGGTGGCTCACACCTGTAATCCCAGCACTTTGGGAGGCCAACATGGGTGGATTACCTGAGGTCGGGAGTTTGAGATTAGCCTGACCAACATGGTGAAACCCCACCTCTAGTAAACATACAAAAAATTAGGCAGGCATGGTGGCATATGTCTGTAATCCCAGCTACTTGGGAGGCTGAGGCAGGAGAATCATTTGAACCTGGGAGGCGAAGATTGCTTTGAGCCGAGATCTCGCCATTGCACTCCAGCCTGGGCAACAAGAGCAAAACCCTGTCTCAAAAAAACAAAAACAAAAACAAAACTGTGATGACTGAAGGAAGCGCACAGGGAGGACTGTGGTCTCTACCCTCTGGGCTCCTCGACAAGCTACAAACTTGTGCTTGTGCTTGAAATGGAATCTTCAAGTATAGGGTTCCCAAACTGTAGGAATAGAAGTGACAGGGAGGATGGCAGACATTTTACATTTTACTTTCTAGTGCTGATTTTTATATGTTTGGGGAAAATACAATGAGCACAGCAAACCAATGAGTCTATGAATATTTTTGTTTAGAATAATGCTAGGTTAAAAAAAAGGTGGACTTTTGACAGATGCAGTTTGCAAAATGTTCTCCTATTCTGCAGGTTGTCTGTTTACTCAGTTTTGCTGTTGCAGGTCTTTAGTTGTATTAGATCCCATTTGTCAGTTTTTGCTTCTGTTGCAATTGCTTTTGGTGTCTTTGTCATGAAATCTTTGCTCATTCCTAGGTCCAGAATGGTATTGCCTAGGTTGTCTTTCACGGTTTTTATAGTTTTACACACGTATACATTGAAGTGTATAAATCATCTTAAGTTGATTGTTGCATATGGTGTAAGTCTAACATCCAGCATCTATAAGGAACTTATTTACAAGAAATTTTCAAGAAAATAAACAATCCCGCTAAAAAGTGGGCCAAGGGTATGAAAAGACACTCGAAAAACATGCGGCCAACAGGCGTATGAAACAAAGCTCATCAGTCATCATTAGAGAAATACAAATGAAAACCACGATGAGATACCATTTCATACCAGTCAGAATGGCTGTTAGCACGGCTATTATTCAACCACAACCAGATGCTGGCGAGGTTGCAGAGAAAAGGGAATGCTTATACCCTGTTTGTGGGCGTCTAGATCAGTTCAGCCATTGTGGAAAACAGTGTGGTGATTCCTCAAAGACCTGAAAGCAGAAATACCATTACAAAGGAATATAAATTGTTCCGTCACAAAGACACATGCACATGTATGTTCATTGCAGCACCATTTGCAATAGCCAAGACATGGAATCAGCCTAAATGCCCATCAATGGTAGACTGGATAAAGAAAATGTGGTACCTATACATGGAATACTATGTAGTAAACAAAAAACAAACGAACAAAAAAAAACGAGACCATGTCCTTTGCAGGAATATGGACAGAGCTGGAGGCCATTATCCTCAGCAAACTAACACAGGAACAGAAAACCAGATATCACAAGTTCTCACTTATACGTGGGAGCTAAATGATGAGAACACGTGGACACGTAGAGGGGAACAATAGACACTGGGACCTACTGGGGGGTGGAGGGTGGGAGGAGGGAGAGGATCTGGAAGAATAACTACTGGGTACTAGGCTTAATACCTGAGTGATGAAATCAGCTGTACAATAAACCCCTGTGGCATGAGTCTACCTATATAACAAATAACAAACCTGCACATGTACCCCTGAACCTAAAAATAAAAGTTTTACAAAAGGTGAACCAATTTAAAGAAATAGCCAGGTAAATAACCAGTGGCACAATGAAGTGACAAATATCATGAAGGTGGCACACAAATGATTGAAGTTTTACAGACACTGATTTGCTGAGTCTCTTCATGTTAGCAATAAAAAAAATCAAGGACCACAAGGGTGAAATTTAAGGTTGGCAAGAAATAAACCCAGGATCACAACCAAACCCTCTGGAGCTCCAGGTGGTGGTGTTCTTCCCAGCACCCAGGCTGCCTCCCCACTCCCTACGCTAGAAGGTATCTTCATGAGGGTTCTTTTATTTTAAAATGACGGCTTTATTGGGAGATAATTCATATACTATAAAATTTACCTTTTTAAAGTGTACCATTCAATAGGCTTTAATAGATTCACAGAGTAAGGCAACCAATTTTACAATTTTAGAACACTTTTATCATCTCAAAAGAAGTCCCACATCAATTAGGAATCACTTCCCCTTCTTGCCAAACCCCTAGCAAAAATTAATCTATTTTATGTCTCTATGGATTTGCCTATTCTGGACATCTTCATGTGAGTGAAATAATATGATATATGGTCTTTTGTATCTGGCATCTTTAATTTAGCTTAATGCTTTCAAAGTTCATCCATGTTGTAGCATGTGTCATACTTCATTCCTTAATTATGGAAGAATAACATTCTACTATATGAATATACCACATTTTATTTACCCGTGTGTCAGTTAATGAACACGTGGTTTGCGTTTGTTTTTGCCATCATGAAGAATGCTGCTATGAACATTGGTGTACAAAATTTTATATGGAGACATGTTGTCATTTCTCTTGGGTACCTACCTAGGAGTGGAATTGCTGGGTACATGGTATGATGGGGGTTCTTGAAGGCAAGCAATAGAAACTGCCTCTGGCCCTCTTGAACAAAGAGGAAATTTACTAGCAGGATAGTGGAAGCTTCCAGAATCCACAGGGGAGAAGCTGAAGGGCTGGGCCTGGAAAATGGGGCAAGAGCCAGGAGTTCAGTGGTCAGGCAATGGAGCTGCAGGCAGCATCACCCCACAGAAATGCCTGGTCTGAGCACCGTTGCAGCCTGCCCTTCTAGCTCTTGTCCAAGATTCAAAGTCTAGGAGAGAGCCTCCAACTGGCCGAGCCTGTGAATCACTCCCCTTCTCCCCACAGCTTGGAGCCAGGGAGACAAATGATCTGATCACTGCAGCCCTATAGCATAAGGGAGGCATTACACAAGTGACAACTTCTCCAAAAGAGAAATTAAGGTAACGATTTGAAGTTGGAATTCGGGGGAATGCTGGACACCTAAGAGAAAGACAAATGTAATACAGCAGGGCCAGATTCTGAGGGGGAAAAATCAACACAGAGTGGAGGGAGAAAGCAAGGGAAAAGCAGAGGAAGGGAGCAGAACCACTGCCTTAAGCTCATTCTGAAGCCACGAAACCTCTGGATTTCCAGTTACATGAGCAGCATAACTTGGGTTTTCTCCTGCTTGCAGCCCAGTGCATCCTAACTGATACAGTAGTGATTACACATAAAAGCCAACTAGAGATAGAAAAAGGCAAGAAAACCAGTGAGAAGAACTTGGGTCTTGTCCCGTTTCTGCCAGATGCCTCTTAGCTGAAGCATTTGATGTCTGAACCTCAGTTTTTTCCTTTTTTCACAGAGTTGCAAAGTGAAACGAAGGATCTAAGAGCCCTGCATAGACTAAAGTGCAAAGGACTTCCCCATAGGCTCTTATAACCAACAAGACAGAAGCAAAAGCATGGTAATAAATGAGCAAACAGATGTTTTCTCAAAGGCTTTAATATTCCAGGTTCCCATTTGGCCTAAGTTTTCATGAGTTCTTTATACTTGGCAGCTGGGTGGGAGGTAAGAGAAGAAAACACTTTGAAGTAGAATTAGGTCAAAGCTGATCATTAAACAGCTTGTAGATTTTGGGAATTTGCTTTTCTGTTTCTCTATATGCTTAAAGAAGCATTGGTGAAACAGTAGGAGGGGAAGGAAGGAGGGTGGCAGATGTTTTACCTTCATTCTCTTATTTCATCCTTACGGCAGCCCTTGGAGGTAGGGATGATTACTTCCATTTTTCAGAGGTGGAAATGGTTCAGAAAGGTGAAGTCACCTCCTGTAGGTATGAATTTGAACTTAGTCCCAGCAGATGTTAGATTCCAGGCTCTTCTCAGTACACCTCACCAACTCCCAGGAAACATGAAAACATACTCCATTACATTCCATTTGGTATCTGAGCTTCAAAAGTTTAAATGAAGCTTCCAGAGGGTTGAGTTCAAGCGTTGTTTCCTCAGGTTAACTTCAAACATTCTTTTTCCCTGAAGGAGTCAACTGTGGTATCAAAAGAACGTGGCCATATGTGTAAATACCAAGGATATCTTTAAAGAACACTCAAGAAACTGGTCATATGGGTGACTTGAGGGTGGCAGGAGAGGAAGCTAGGTCACTTGAGCACAGGGAAGCGAAAATCTTTCTTTTCATTGTTAGCCTTTCCCTTTATTTCTTTCAATTAATAAACATTTTTAGAGTAGCTTTTGGAGCACAGCAAAATTAAATGGAAAGTATAGAAATGTCCACTGTCTCCCATTCTCACACATGGACAACCTCCCCCACGGTCAGTATTCTGTGCCAGAGTGGCCCGTTGTAGATTACCATCTATGAACCTGCATTGCCACATGATGATCAACCAAGGCTCATAATTCACATGAGGGTTCACTCTTGGTGGTGTACACGCTGGGTTCTGATAAAAGTGTAATGACACTGTGGTATCATACAGAGTAGTTTCTCTGCCCTAAGAATCCCCTGTGCTCTGTCTGTTCATCCCGCCCTCCTTCCTCTCATCTCTGGCAGCCACTAATCTTTTTATTGTCTCCATACTTTTGCCTTTTTCAGAATGTCATATAGTTGGAATGATACAGAATATAGCCTCTTCGGACTGGCTTCTTTCACCTAGTAATATGCATTATGTCCTTTCATGGCTTGATAGCTCATTCCTTTTTAAGGCTGAATAATGTTCCATTGTTGGGATGTACCACAGTTTATCCATTCACCTACTGAAGAACAACTTAGATGCTTCCAGGTTTTGACAATCATGAATAAATCAGCTATAAATATCTGTGTGCATGTTTCGCGTGTACATAAGTTTTCAACTCCTTTGATAAATATCACAGAGTACAACATGCTGGATCATATGGTAAGAGTATGTTTAGTTTTGTATCAAACTGCCAAACTTTCTTTTTCTTTTTTTTTTTTTTGCTGGAGGGCAGTGGCTCACTACAACCTTTGCCTCTGGGATTCAAGCAACTCTCCTACCTCAGCCTCTGAGTAGCTGGGATTACAGGCATGCACCACCATGCCCAGCAAATTTTCGTATTTTTAGTAGAGACAGGGTTTTACCATGTTGGCCAGGCTGGTCTTGAACTCCTGATCTCAGGTGATCCTCCCACCTTGAACTCCCAAAGTGCTAGGACTATAGGTGTGTGAGCCACACACTTGGCCTAAACTGTCTTTCAAAGTGGCTGTAGCATTTTACATTCCCATAAGCATTCCATGTTGTCAGTGTTTTTGTTGGCCATTCTAATAAGTGTGTAATGCTATCTATTTTTGTTTTAATTTGTAGCCTTTTTTTTTTTTTTTGAGACAGAATTTCACTCTGTCACCAGGCTGGAGTGCAGTGGTGCAATCTCAGCTTACTGCAACCTCTGACTCCTTGGTTCAAGTGATTCTCCTGCCTCAGCCTCCCGAATAGCTGGGACTACAGGTGTGCACCACCACTCAGCTAATTAATTTGTAATTTTTGAATGTCATATGAAAATATGCCTTTGTTGAGCACCTTCCACCTGTTTTGTTTTTGTTTTTTAAGAGACAGAATGTCACTGTGTTGCCCAGGCTATAGTTCAGTGGCTATTCACAGTATTCACAGGTACAATCATAGGGCACTGTAAGCTTGAGCTCCTGGGCTCAAGCAATCCTCCTGCCTCAGCCTCTGAGTAGCTGGAACTGTAGACACATGTGTTAGACCGTTCTTGCATTGCTGTAAAGAAATACCTGAGCCTAAGTAATTTATAAAGAAAAGAGGTTTAATTGGCTTACAGTTCTGCAAGCTTTACAGGAAGCACAGTGCTGGCATCTGTTCAGCTTCTTGGGAGGCCTCAAGAGGTTTACAATGATGGTGAAAGATAAAGAGGGAGTAGGCACATGACAGGCCAGAGCAGGAGCAAGAGAGAGAGTGAGTAACTGGGGAGGTGCCACACATTTTTAAATGACTGGATCTTATGAGAACTCACTATCACAAAGACAGCACCAAGCCATAAGGGATCTATTCCTATGATCCAAACACATCCCACCAGACCCCATGTCCAGCATTGGGGATTACAATTCAACATGAGATTTGGGTGGGAACAAATTTCCAAACCATATCAGCATGTGCCACCACACCAGGTCTGAGCAATTTTTATATGTGTACTAACCACATGTATATCTTCTTCTTCTTTTTTTTTTTTTCCTTTTTCTTTTTTGAGACCGAGTTTCGCTCTTGTTACCCAGGCTGGAGTGCAATGGCATGATCTCGGCTCACTGCAACCTCCACCTCCTGGGTTCAGGCAATTCTCCTGCCTCAGCCTCCTGAGTAGCTGGGATTACAGGCACGTGCCACCATGCCCAGCTAATTTTTTGTATTTTTAGTAGAGACAGGGTTTCACCATGTTGACCAGGATGGTCTCGATCTCTTGATCTCATGATCCACCCACCTCGGCCTCCCGAAGTGCTGGGATTACAGGCTTGAGCCACCACGCCCGGCCTCACATGTATATCTTCTTTGGTGAAGTGTCTGCTCAGGTCTGTTGCCCATGTTTAAATTGTTTTTTTGTTGTTGTTGTTGAGTTTTAAGGGTTCTTTGTAAGTTTTGAATTATATTCTTTCATCTGATGTGTCTTTTGCAAATATTTTCTTCCAGTTGATTTTTTTCTTATTCTGTTTTTGCTTATTTTTTCTTTGAGACAGAGTCTTGCTCTGTCACCAGGCTGGAGTGTGGTGGTGCTATCTTGGCTCACTGCAACCCCTGCCTCCCTGGTTCAAATGATTCTCCTGCCTCAGCCTCTTGAGTAACGGGGACTTCAGATGTGCACTGCTGCACCCAGCTAATTTTTGTGCTTTTAGTAGAGGCAGGGTTGGCCAGGCTGGTCTTGAACTCCTGAGTTTAGGTGATCTGCTCGCCTTGGCCTCCCAAAGTTCTGGGATTAAATGTGTGAGCCACTGTGCCTAGCCCCTCCTTCTCTTGATATGATCTTTCAAAGAGAAGTTTTTCATTTTAATGAAGTCCAACTTATCAGTTATTTCTTTTATAAATTATATCTTTTGTATTGTATTTTTGAAGTCATCACCATAACCAAGGTCATCTAGGTTTTTTTCTGTTATCTTCTAAGAGATTTTGTAGTTTTGTGTTTTACATTTAGGTCTGTTGCAGTTAATTGTTGTGAAGGGTGTAAGCTGTGTCACGATTCATTTTTTTTTAGCCTGGACAACATAATGAGACCATGTTTCTATAAAAAATAAAAAAAGCAATCCTCCCAACTCAGCCTTCCAAGTAGCTGGGACTACAGGCATGGTGGTACAGCTACCTATCTGTTCCATTGATCTGTTTGTCTATTCTTTCACCCATACCACAATGTCTTAATAACTGTAGTTTTATAGTATGTCTTGAAGTTTGGTAGTGCCAGTCCTCTGACTTTGAGTTTTTCTTTTTGAGACTGAGTCTTGCTCTATCACCCAGAGTGGAATGCATTGGCATATCTTTGCTCACTGCAACCTCTGCCTCTCAGGTTCAAGCAATTCTTGTGCTTCAGCCTCCCAAGTAGTTGGGATTACAGGCACCCACCATCATGGCCAGCTACTTTTTGTACTTTTAGTAGAGATGGGGTTTCACCATGCTGGCCAGTCTGGTCTTGAACTCCCGACCTCAAGTGATCTGC